CGGTGTGAGGGGCGGGCTCGGGGTGAGGGGCCGGGGGCGGGTTCGGTGTGAGGGGCGGGCGCTGCCCCCGCCCCGCTGGCGCTGACGTGTCCGAGAGGCGGTGGCACCGGCCGGGCCCGCCCGGGAGCGGCGGGGCTGGGCCGCTGTCAGCGCGGCGCGCCGGAAGGAGGGCGGAGCGCGGCCCGCCGTGTTTGGTTCCGGCGGGGCTGAGGGGCCCGCGGCCATGGGGGTCCCCAAGTTCTACCGGTGGATCTCGGAGCGCTACCCCTGCCTCAGCCAGGTGCTGAAGGAGCACCAGGTGAGCTGCGGGCCGAGCGCCGGTGCCTGACGAGGGGCCCGTCCCGGAGGGGTCCCGGGAGGCCCCTCGGCGGGGCGAGGGAGCGGGACGAGCGCCCGGGCCTGTCCGCGGCCGGCCCTGAGGGGCTGAGCCCGAGCCCGGCCGGCTCGCCCGCGGCTCGGGGGACCCACGGCTCGGGGCGGCCCGAAGTGCCGGGGCGGTCGCTGTGAAGGGACCGGGGCGCTCGGTGCCCCCGGGCGGCCCGGCTGTGCGGGCCGAACCCGCCGCTGGGGCAGCGCTGCCTGAGGCCGGGGATGGCGGCACTCGCGCCCCTCGGCACGGCCGGCGATGTTTCCAGCGGTCCCGGACCCAAACCGCGCTGTTCCCGCAGGGAATGCCCAGCCCCGGCGTTCCCCTGTCGTGTGGCGGTGCCCGGCTCGCTCCCCGATCCGGCTCCCCGTCGGTAACCCCGGGTGCTGCCCCGCGTTGGAGTTTCCTCGTTGTCGGGCTCAGAAAAGTTGCAGCTGCTGCCGAAGGACGGCGCAGTAATGACGAGGGGCGGGTTTCGCAGCCCTGTTGCCTTTCCTTGTTGTCACCTGCGTCGGGCTGTTTGTGTCAGCAGCAAGATTGGGAAGTATGTTCAAGCCTGGAAAAAGGCAGTGGTAAAATGATGCTTTTAACAGTAGGGCAAAAAAGTCTTGTTTTCGGAGAGGCTACGTTTGGTACCTGTTAGATACAAGCTCTTTGTCATTTCCAGGCAGTGTTACAGGTGTGGTTTAATAGTCTGAGTAAGGATGTTCTGAGAGGCGTGACAGGATGTTCTGAGAAGGCATGTTTGTACATTTTCCCTAAACAGCCACGATTTTTAAAGATTAAACAGCTGTTGTATCAGTGTAACTAAGATGCCGGGTTCAAGCGATTCCAAACCTGGATGTTTGACCCTTCCTGCTGATCTCAGAGCAGTTTTCAAAGCTCAGGTCTATGCTGATGCTTTGCTTGGTCTTGCTGTGTGTGTAGCCAGGGGCAGCGGTGTGTGCTGGCTTTCCTGCTGCTTGCTGAGAGCCTTGGTTGCTCACTGGAACCTTTAGGCTTGCAAGCTGAAGCAGCAGTGTCTGCTTCAGCCAGGGTGTTGCAGCAGGGAGACAGTTGTAATGAGGGCAGGATTTTTATGATCAGTCATATTGGTGGATTAAAGAATAGGTTTGTTCATTGCGAATTGCTCTCGTGCGTGTTTGGTGGGGTTTGGTAACAAAGAGATAGTTCATATTTTTAACAACGTTTGCTTGTGTACATTTGGGAAGTTTTTTTTCCTTTAAAAGGAAGTGTGACTGCTGCAGGTAGGGCTGTTAGAGGAACAGAGAACTAGAAAGAAATAAAACCATGTTTGGAAAGTGTGAGAAAGAAATTGATGTTATCACTGCTAGTTCTGCTGCTTTGGGTGGTCGTTGCCTCTCTGCAGACTCCCAGAGGGCTCAGAGCACTCAGAGCTAACAGGCAGCCTGCAGTGGGCAGGGGAGGAACTGTCCAAGTGGGAGAACTCAAAGATTCTTAAGCTGGCTTTGCTTTGGAAATGCTGTTGGAAATTGCATCCTCACTTCTGTAGTTTTTATTGCTTGTAGTGCAGCTATGGAAGATTGAATCAGTCAAGTGTGTGCAGTTATAAAAAAGAAAACAATTCTTTCTCAAAAGAGAGATTTTTGTTTGCTTTTCCCTTTTACAATGTGTGTATAAGATTGACCAAGCACAGAGACAAAAGTTCTGAGGTTCCAGAAACAGCCAGGATAGGACAGCAACCTGTTCCGCTGACTTTGTTCCCTGAGAAGAGTCATTCTAACGGGTTGCAAGTGCAGGCAAACCCATCAGCAGAGCAGCTGTTCTTCCTTAGCCCCCTGGTGAGCAGCAGGTTCCAGGGGGGTTTTCCCACCTCACTCAGCCCATTTCCAGCGTCCCTTGCTCTCAGCTGTGCCTCAGGCAGTGACTGCAGCGCTGCAGCTTCACAGCTGGGGGACTCACTGTGGCTTTTGCAGATTCCAGAATTTGACAACTTGTACCTGGACATGAATGGCATTATCCATCAGTGTTCACACCCGAACGATGATGATGTCCACTTCAGGATCTCCGAAGATAAGATTTTTGCCAACATCTTCCACTATTTGGAAGTGTTGTTTCGCATTATTAAGCCCAGGAAGGTTTTCTTCATGGCAGTTGATGGAGTAGCTCCAAGAGCAAAGATGAATCAGCAGCGTGGGAGACGTTTTAGGTAAGAAGATGAGTTCTGACTCTGTCTTGAGGAAAGTAAACACTGAAAAAAACCCCACTTACTTAAATGCATGCTATAAAAAGTAAAATAGATTGGCTGATAGTGCCTTTGACAGTGGTTTTAATCTGTAGTTAAATGAGAGTTACTACCTGTAAAAATGTTCAAATCAGGATTCCAAAAAGGAAAGTTTGCTTGTCACTTCAACTTTTCTCTGTGTACGTGGAGCTTTTTCTTACAAAATTTCCTGTGAAAGAAGTCTGCAGTGGAGCTCTTGCAGGTGTTTCCACTGGCTTCATAAGCTGGGAGTGTCTTTGGTATTTGTGAATGCTGGTTCTGGAAATGCCTTTTGGTGACTGTAACGGAGCGTCCTTGGGCAGTCAGGGAAGAAATCAAGTTTCCAATGAACCCCTGATTTCCTGTTGATCCCAGTTCCCAAGATCCTTTCCTCAGATACAGAGCTGCAAGCAGATTCACAGTGCTAGGAATTACAGTAATGCTTTGGGAGATTTGGAAGCTTTTTTTAAGGTTGCTGTAAGGAAGAAAATCCAGTGGTCAGCACAGGGTTGGTGAGGGAACCACAACATAGACAAAATGGGGGAAGGGACGAGAGAAAATATTTTCAAGCAACTGAACTTCGTGTTTGTTTGTTTTTTTTTTTTTTATGAGCTTTTTTTTTCTTTAAGAAAGGAGGTTGAGAGGAAGTAGATATTAAAAAAGTTCTAAATAGAAAATTTTAGCAGAATTGAGAGAAGGACAAAAATTCAAGAATTAGGTGATTCCTCTGTTTCTGGTTCAAAGGGTTATGAAATCCTTGGCCAGGAAAGGATGGGATTTTTTTTAGTTTCTATGTTACTGCTGATGAGAAATTGTTCACTCCTCTGACTCCTTTGGTATTCCAGACCTGCTTCTTTGTTTCACTCTGTTACCTTAATTTTCTGGGATAGCATTTGCAGGTGTTTAGATCGCACCTGCTGTTTCAACAGTCCTTGTGATCAACCACTGTATGATCATCTAAATATTACCTGCATCTGAGTAGTGACAGGTTATCATCACTACTAGGAAGAAAAAGCTGTTTTTAAGGCTTCTTCATTGGATTGGGAACAAATTCAAACTATTCAGGAGTTAAAATTCTCTTTCTTTTTGTTTTAGTGCTCTAAAAAGTCAACTGTATTTATTTAGTCAGTAAAACTGCGCTTAGGATATTAATGCTTGAATAAGATGATTCTTCCTCTGCTCTCTCTCCAACCTTATTTTGTTTTAGATCAGCAAAAGAGGCAGAGGAGAAAATAAAAAAGGCATTAGAAAAGGGGGAAACTCTCCCTACAGAAGCCAGATTTGACTCCAACTGTATTACACCAGGTAAGACAATTTGTCAATTATTTTAATTTAAGTGTTTAGATTTATGTTTTTGCATCTATATTTTGGTACTATTTTTCTGTCTTAAGGGCGTTTTTTAAAAAAACAGAAGACAGAATCAGTGAAGGCTTAAGTTGAACAGAAATTTTAGTAACTCAGTAGGGTTGTAATATGGTCTCATTCTAAAAATTTTTTAGATTATTATGTAAAAAGTGAAATATCTAAGGAAGAAAAAAACAGTTATCCCCTTCATCTCTGGCAGAATTTTTATTTGTTGTTTTGTTTTGTTTTTTCATTAGTATGTCTAATATGTAAGTGCAAAGTAGTGAAAATCTTTGTTTTTAACTTAGATTTCTGTTTTCAGGAACTGAATTCATGGCCAGATTGAATGAGCATCTTAAATATTTTGTAAATATGAAGATTTCCACAGACAAATCCTGGCAAGGAATAACAGTCTACTTGTCGGGCCATGAGGTCGCATTTCATTGCTATTTTATTTTAAATAAATTTTCATTTTATAAAAAATACTTGCTGCTGAATTTCTTTTTGTGCTTGTTTTTGTTTTGTCCAGACCCCAGGGGAAGGGGAGCATAAAATTATGGAGTTCATCAGATCAGAAAAAGCAAAGCCTCACCACGATCCCAACACGAGACACTGTCTCTATGGCTTGGATGCTGATTTGGTGAGTGCCATTCAGGTACCACAGACAGCAGAATCTGTCACGTCTGTGATATCTTCCCAAGGTCACAGGCTGCTAAAATGTTACTAAACAAGCATGTAGTGCTGCGTTCCTGCACACTTCTGAATCTGTCATGAAACACAACATCAGCATTTCTTTGTACTGCTTCAAGTGCTTCGTAATGATGATATCTTTCTAATGTCTCTCTGCTATAGATAATGCTGGGATTAACAACTCACGAGGCTCACTTTGCACTCCTAAGAGAAGAAGTCAGATTTGGTGGTAAAAAGGCTCAAAGGTGAAGTCATTTAACTTTACTCTTATTTTATATGTGATGAAATTAAATCCAGAACATGCTGGGTGACTAAAACAGGTTTGTGTTTGGTAGTTAGTTTGCGTTTTTTATTGATTGCATGCTAAATTAATAAAGTCTTAGTTTATTTTTTTTTTTGGTTAGAAGAAGTCAACTTGTTAAACTGTGCATTTAGGTTAATTTACATGACAAAATGTGTGCTGTCAGAACAGCTGGTAAAAAAATCCTTAAAGCTTTGATGCGCTACACTGTTTTCTTATTATTATTAATGGACAAGCCGGGCTGCAGTGACATTGTTTCCACAGCTGCCTTGTGCAGATACTGATTTTTTAAAATGTATACATACATCTGAGCTTTTGTGCTTGTAAATAAGTTACTGGAATAATTACTAAAATGTTGGCTACTGTATGGCATGAGCAAATGGAAGGTTTGTTATTCTTTTAGTGCTACGTTGAAGCACTAAATAATACATATGGACCATTTTCTTTCCTTACAACCATTTCAAGTGACTACAAAAGTAACCCAGCCAGTTCAGATGGGAATCTGTGTGCTCTCTATTTATTCACCCTGGTTTTAAGATACCTTAAAACTTGTTGGGCCTGGTGCAAAGTTAGATTAGTTTGTCCCTTCTTAGAACAACGGGATAAGTACTTAGGAAATCATTCCTGCAGCTGGAACTCCCCAGAGCTGCCCTGCTTTGTCCACATCTGCTGTTTAGGAGATTCCACTGCCAAGTTTTGGAGACCAAAGCAGATTAACCCTAAAACAGATCCAAGCAAGTGTTTATACGTTAGTTCTTCTGTAAGGGTACAATCCTAGTAAAAATTCTTGGGTTTAGGTATCCTTGGACTTATATTAATATTAATGTTGAAAGTGTGTTTATAAATAATTAACTTGGTGTTTTGAATAATTTACAGAGCGTGTGCGCCAGAGGAAACCACATTTCATTTGCTGCACTTATCACTGATGAGAGAATATATTGATTATGAATTTTCCCCAGTAAAAGTAAGTTCTAATGGAGCTGAGATTGGAAAAAAATGTGTGGGGTCTTTATGCAAAAATGCTAATAAAAATTATGCTCCTGGGTTTTTTTCTTTTTTTCCTTTTTTTTTTTTTTTTCTTTCCCCCCCCACCCCAGGACAAGATTTCCTTTGAATATGATATTGAAAGGATAATAGATGATTGGATCTTAATGGGTTTCCTTGTAGGAAATGATTTCATTCCTCATCTACCTCATTTACACATAAATCATGATGCACTGCCGCTCCTTTACAGAACATACATGGCTATCCTGCCAGAACTGGGAGGTAAGAAAACTAACTTAGCTCTGGAAAATAGAAGCATTAACATTCCTGCCTTAATATTGATTGTCCTTTTTAGCCATGTTAGAATGTTCAGCATTTCCTAAACTTTCTCTAGACAGCCAGCAGGATTGCATTCTATTATCTGTGGGGCATTTAAAGATTAAAATTTTAACATTGTTAAGTTGTTAGTTTAAAAAACATACTTAATTTTCACAATAGGTTACATCAATGAAAATGGGCACCTGAATTTAGAACGTTTTGAGAAATATCTCACGAGATTGTCAGATGTAAGTAACTTTGAAATTGCACTGTATGGAATGGTGAAGTGTGTGGAATATAAACTCAATATAGTGCCCTAAAATAAACCATACTGGAGTTTTAATGAACTGTTAAATGGCTATGTTTTACAGGTGGTTCAATCAGCTGGTTTACCATTTAGCAGATGAAATCCAATCAGTTGTTGTCTGATCTTTTCATAGTATAAAAGTTGCCCCTGCTTTCAGCCCTGGCCTCTGGTTCTTGGCCAGAGCTGTGAGGGTGTTAGGTCTGTGGCACGAGGCTGTGGTACCCAGACCCCTCTGTATGTGCTTCTTTTAGAGTGGATACTTAGTAGATATAGTGGATAGTTATTTAACTCCTTTGGTTACCCTTTACTGCCTTCCAGGAAGTAAATAAATGATGGCTTCTCTATATGTCACAGATTGTTACATATCTGTTGTAGCTCTAGGGCAAAATGGTTATGTACAGATAACTCTACATGCAATCTAAGGCACGGACTGAAAAGGCACTGTTAATTTAGCATTCTGAATTTGACATCCCTCAAATATTGGCAAACTTACTTTCATCTTTCTGCACAGTTTGATCGTGAACACTTCAGTGAAGTCTTTGTAGACCTGAAATGGTTTGAAAGCAAAGTGGGCAATAAATACCTCAACGAGGCAGCTGGTATTTCAGCAGAGGAAGCCAGGAAAAATAAACAAAAGAAACAAAAGGTGAGTATTTCACAGGCAGAATTTCAGGAAGCAGAATGTTCCTCTTTTGCGAGTCGATATTTTGACCTTAGACAAATTAAATGGTATAAAGCTCTGCTTTGAGATTGTAAAGAGAGTAAAACCAGTATGCATCACTGGTTGGGAGTGATGGAATGGTTAAGTCGAGGTCAGGTTCTTATGAAGTTGGAAGTCTTGTCAAGCTGTAGTTTAATGCTTTGCTGTTCCTCCAAAGCAGCAAAATGTGCTTCTGGGTGAGTTAAGGTCAAATCTGCTCTGCTTTGTTTAACCTTTCAGTGCAGAGCTCGCTGCAGGTTTTACACATTCCAGATACACCAATAGGTGAGTCAGGCATGTCTTGGTATTGGCCAGTGATTTGACAGTGAGTGGGTAAACAGCTCACCCCAGAGCAACTGCTATCTTAGATTAGTGTTAGCTAATTAATTAGTCATTGTCAGTCATGGCTGGGCTTTGCCAATGAAGATTGGAGAATGACTCTACCCACACGTGCTACAAGCGTGCTGATGGCTAAACAGGCCAATAATTAACTAGTAAACTTGCAATTTCAAATATAACTAATTAATAAGGAACAGTACCTTTCAAGTGTCCTGCTTAAATGTGTACTGAACAGTGTTGGGAAACAGTAGCATTTTGAAAAACAAATATTCAGGTATTTTTTTAAAGGTAGTTAAGGGTTTTTTTAAGGCTGCTTCTTGGTCTGATCTGTCCTTTTGTCTGATTCAATAATTAAAGCAATTATAGGTAGGAGAAGGAAATGAGTTTTATAATAATAGTGTTTATACACTTTGATTATGGCATTTTGAGTTGCATATTATATGGTATTGAATGAGGTTTCTGCATATTAACCTGCATTTTTACGTTATTTAAAACACTGATTTTTAAGGCTCAGGAAAATTCTATATCTTTGGCTGCTTTAGAAAAAAACGAAGATGAAGTGACCCCTAAAAGTAAGTGCAAACATTTTTTCCACATCCATATAACAAAACCCCCAATGTTAACATGTTCAGGTTTGGAAGAACTGTAAGAATTTCATGTCAGAGATGACCTTAATCTAAATGCAAGACTTTTGTAGTCAGCTGGTGGGAAGTGGAACTGCTATGGAGAGAGAGAGTGGGGCTAAAGCTTTTGAGGGCTTCTTCCCTGACCTGGATTTCTGGGAGGAGTTAAAGGAATGAATGAGCAAATCTCCAACAATATTATGGTTTTAATAATTGTATCCCTAGGGTTTTTTGTGATATAGTGGGGATGAGTGAACAGATTTTTCTATGGCTTTAGGGTTTTTGGTTGTGGTTACTTTTTTATACTCATTCCACCCGTAGGAGATATTTTTTGCTTATGTTTTGAAATTAATTGTCAAAGATATATGAATAGTACTCCATGATATGAGATGGTGTTGCTGATCATAGTTAAACTTTAAAATCTGTTTTAATGTTTTCTCAGATTGTTTTCTGGTGGCTTATATTATCTTCTCTGCTCTTATAATTGAGCTAAAAAAATGGGTTATCTGTCTTGAAAGTTCCAGAATTTCTCTGGGTAAAAGATTTTGTTTGAGTCATGGTACGTTTGGTGCAAGGAAGGTATGAGCACCTCTAGCTTTGAATCGAGGGATAAAATTAACTCAGTAAGTCAAAAGTGAGTGCTTTTAAACCTTATTGTAGCAGAGAAATGAACATTAATCCCTCTTTTTTATTTTTCATGCCTTTCTTTTCCAGCTGTGTTGGAAGATGAACCAGAAGATGATGATCTGTTTGAAACTGAGTTTAGGCAATACAAGAGAACTTACTACATGACTAAAATGGGGGTAGAAGTAGTTTCTGAGTAAGTGGATACTTTTTCTTCTCTTTTTCTAAACCCTAAAGACAAGTCTTTGTTAATATCTATGAGAGGGACTATTTACAAGAGCATGTAGTGACAGGAGAAGGCATAATGGCTTCAGACTGAAAGAGAGTAGGTTTAGATGATATAGAAATGAATAAATTCTTTACCCTGAGGGTGGTGAGGCCCTGGCACAGGTTGCCCAGAGAAGCAAGGCCAGGTTGGATGGGGCTCTGAGCAACCTTGTCTGGTGGAAGATGTCCCTGCCCACTGCAGAGGGCTTGGAACGAGATGATCTTTAATGTCCCTTCCAAACCCAAACCATTCTGTAATTCTAGTACAGGGCAGAATATTCTTCCATGCTGAAAGCAGAAAACACATGGAAGGCTGCTGCAGTGGTGATGGTTTTGCACCAAGAGCTGCAACTCAAGTTTTCTGTGATAGGTATTTGAGGACCAAAGAGAAGAAGTCCATTAGGATTAAATGGATCTGGAAAATTGCGGTATATTAGGTTTCCAAAACGTGCTATCTTCATTTCTGTGTACAAGATGCTAAGTACTTTTTGTATACCAGTGAAAATTGTTATCTTTCCTTTTAAGTGACTTCTTGGCTGATCAAGCTGAATGTTATGTCCAGGCAATCCAGTGGATTTTGCATTATTACTACCATGGAGTTCAGTCATGGAGCTGGTAAGAAAAAGAGGAGAAAGTGCTGAAAGACAGTGCCCTTTGCCCTTGTATGCTGGGCACATTTGGGGTGGTTTGGCTGGGCCCTGCTGTGTGAACATTGCTGTGCTGTGATTTAGCAGCTCAAGAGGTCTCTCCTTGCAGGTTTTACCCCTACCATTACGCCCCGTACCTGTCAGATATTCGCAACATCAGGGACCTCAAGATCCACTTTGAACTGGGGAAACCTTTCATGCCATTTGAACAGCTGCTGGCTGTGCTTCCAGCAGCTAGCAAAGATCTGCTGCCTAAATGCTACCAGGTGGGATACAGGATTAAACTGCACTCTCTCTCTGTTGCTTACTGGTTATCTGCTTTATTTTATTTTACTCTTTTGATGTTTTTGCATGTCTTAGTAATTATATTCTATCTCTAAATTTTAGGTGTATGGGTAAATATTCTATTTGTTACTATTCTTACTACGTTGTAAAGTTAGTAATAAATAACAAGTTTTGCATTTGCTAAGCAGTTTCTGACTAGGACATTGAGGTATTGAGTTCCTGGTCAACCCTGAATTGTTTTTACTCTAGCTTTGCTCTGTCTTTTCTTACAGTTAGTGCTACGTTGTCTCTGATATTGTCTCTGTTCTATTTCCCTAGCATTTGATGACTAGTCAAGACTCTCCTATTATAGAATATTATCCACCTGATTTTAAAACTGACCTAAATGGAAAACAGCAGGAATGGGAAGCTGTAGTGTTAATCCCATTTATTGATGAGGTAAGTTCCTTCAGCTTCTACTGTCTATAAAAGCTTCATAACAAATCTGCCAACTTGCTTAATTAATCAACAGTTAGACAAGCAATTAAGTGGAAGTTTAGATTTACACTTGGTAAGATCACAGAAAAATGTAAATGTTTTCTGCCTAGAGAGTAAGTCCAGGTGAAGTCACCGCAAGCAGAATCAGCTGCAGGAGACAGAAGTCCTAAGTAAGGGCTGGGGACTTTGTGTTCTTTGTTGATGTTTTTAACCAGTTATTCAAATATTTGGTTTCAGATTCTTTAAGGAAAAAAGTTTTATTCCTATATATGTAGAAAAGTACAGAATGTTTGTAGGTAAAATAAAAGAAACACCTGAGAAAAAAAAGTGTATTTTTACAGGTAATTTCCTCACAGGAACACCAGTAACAGGGCGCATTAATGGACAGGAATACAGTCATAATTTTCCTTTTACGTGTAGGATAACAGTTTTAGGTAACAGATTTGCAAAAAGGTGGTCTTTATTGTCCAAAGCCATTCCATGGTAACTGTTTTTATCAGGGAGCTGGGACATGAGGAAGGGTGAGGCAGCTCTTGGGAGATGAGCACATGAACCACAGAAGTGCCCACCTGCCCTTTGCCAGGGTGGACGTGGCCATGCTGATTTGTGTTGCCAGTTTCACACGTGTCATTTCTGTGCCATTCAGAAACGGCTGCTGCAGGCCATGGAGTCCTGTAACAAGGGCCTGAAAGAGGAGGAGAAACAAAGGAACACTCACAGTCCTTGCCTGATGTACTGGTATGAGAAAGAGGCTGAGTTTCAGTACCTGTCCCCGTGGCCTGAGAAATTCCCTGCCATAGAACGATGTCATACAAGGTAACACCGGCATAACAAGTTCCAAGTAGGCTAAAAGTAGTTGGGATACTTTTATTAACATTTTAACTCAAACTTGCATGTGCCAACACCTGCACTGGAAAATGTAAAATATTGAGTTAGATGTTACTTGTTTTGGATGGCACAGTAAAGGTATTTGTTCCTTCAAGTGTTCCTGTGCAGAACATAGGAACCAATTGTAAATCACTGAGAACAATCTCCAGAATTACTAAACCTCTGTGACACAGAGGATGAAAAACCGATACAAATATCTGCTAACTGGTGATGATTTATCAGCATGATAATTCCAGAGCGTTTTTAGAAAAATGGAAGCATTTGGATCCAGTGCAGAGAGTGGAACACACGGGTGTTTTTCACCTTTCTCTCACTGCAAGTAGCTTTATCTCACACAGGCTGAGGTTTCAAGATAACCAAAGGCTTAATAGTAGTGAGACTTAAAGCAGAATAGAGGAGGAATGGCTGTCCTGGATTGCAGTCAGTGAAGAATGAAGAGTTGTGAAGATGAATTACACCATTAATCCCACACAGAACCACTGCTAGTTTGGAGTTTGATAATAACAATTATTTAAAATAGCGAGTTTGGCACGTATTGTGAAGTTTTGTCTTGTTTCTAATGAATTGTCTCTTTGTAGCAATAGCATGGGGGTTTTTATAGTCCTTTCTATAGATTCCAAGTGACGTAAATTAGTTGCTGGAAGTCAAAGGGTCAAAGGGTTTGTCAATTAATGAGTATTTGAATGAGTGTTGAGCTTTTCTAGGGCTGAAGGTCAATGTGTATGAGCAGGTGTTGCGCTACTTGTTTTTCAGGTATAAAACAATACCTTTGGATGCTTGGCACGTAGAAATAACCCACAATAAGATAACTAAAATCAACAAGAGTGCATTATATTTTTGTGGATTTCCTACCTTAAAGCACATTAAGCACAAGGTAAAAAGATACCTCTCTTCTGACATTTCAATTGTATTTAATAGATAACGATGTGAGAGTTCAAGTTTTCTGTGCTGTTTTGTTTTTACCCAGTTCTATCTTAAAAAAAGCGGTGTGCAGGTGTTTCAGCAAAGCAGCCACGGAGAGAACATGATGTTAGAAATCATAGCTGATGAGAACTCCAAAGATCAGGTAAGCATTCAGCTCCTGACAAAATCCAAACCAACCAACCAAAAATACCACACAAAAATCTTGTCATAAAAAGACTGAATTTGTTAAATACAGCACCAAGCTGAGACCATCAGAGGAGAATATGTATTTATGTGTTTATTCTCAGTATCTATTTTGAAAGTACCAGCTGAGTCAGACTTAACACTTTCCACTCAGATGGGGCTGTTTGATAGAGGAATTAAGTGGGAAGAGTCAAGGTAGCAAAAGACAAATGCAGAAAAGAAAAATGTTTCAGAGATAAATAAAACCAGGAAAGGAGAAAGGAGGGAAACAACGTGATAGGATCTTAGAGAAACAGAGAGAATGCATATTCAAGATACATGGCAAGAAAAAATAAATAAGCCAAAATAATACATTGAAAAATAGCAGCCACTCATCGGAAAAACAACAACATGATGTGAGATTAAAATTACAGATGCTACGAAGTCATGGCCATAAGTGCTGTTCCTTTATTTCAGTGAGATACAAAAGTAAAATCTAAGGTACAAAATATTTCTGTCATTTTGGTTTTTGTGTCCCAGAGACAAAACCAGTTCTAAGTGATTTAACTCAGCCTATATCAGAAATGTAAATCAGGCCAGGTCTTACACATAGCATGTGCAACATGCAAAGAACAACACTTCTGTATCAAGAATATTTTCATAAAATGAACTCTGTATTCTACAAGAAACCTGCAATTTTTATTGCAAAACCATTTTGAAAATGCTGTAACAAAAATCTTTTAATATGTTAAACAATTGGTAACAGGAACTTCTGGGGTTTTTTTTCAGCTGGTAGAAAACGTTGCCAGTTCGATACTTGGAAAGCGAGTTTTTGTGAACTGGCCCCACCTTGAAGAAGCCAGAGTTGTGGCAGTGTCAGATGGAGAAACCAAGTAAGAGCTGTCTGATGCAGAGTTGTTTGTTGTCTTTATTAGTTTTTGAATTAAGCCCCTTGGGCTGTACAAACACGTTGGTTTTATTGTGATGCTGACAGCAGATTGGTTTGCAGATGTAGCAAAGGCTGCTCGTGGGACAACCTTTGTCTAACATAGTTCTGAGCTTTGTTGGCTCTGGAGCAGTTCTGGCCCTTCATTATTTTGCTGGAGCTGTACAAGCTTGGGAGAGCCCATTCTTTATTTTGAGGGGAAAATGCACGCACAGCAATCCCCACAGAGAAGGTTTATATGCCACCTTCCTTTCAGCACGTTTTTTTGATAAAAAAACCATGCAGTGTGGCCTGTTGTGGAAAGGATAGAGAAAACGATGATGCAAGTTTTCTATATCCTTAACAAGTCATTTCTGACTGGTTTAAGTTTTGCTCCCAAGTGGTTATGTCTAGATTAATCTTGGTTAAATTAATATTCCCAAGGTTTCACTTGGAAGAACCACATGGCACACAGAGGCTTTACATGGGAAATGCAGTGCCCCCAACCAAAGTGGCTTATGTTGGAGATAAGGAACAAAGCCTGTGGGTAAAAGAAGTTCAAGGCATTTCAGAGCAGTAAGTAACTCCCAAAATGAAGGTGTGACTCTGCATTTGGTGTCTTAGCTGTGTTTTGTTGCTGTGTTACAGACCCAAGCAGCACTGAAGAGCTGCTGCATGCTTGATGATAAAGGTTAATCGAGTCTGCTGGAATTTAAAAAAAAAAAAAAAAAAAAAAACAACACAAAAGAGCTTATGTTGAAATTTCAGAATGTGTGGAGTTAGCCCCTAGGTAATTCAAGTTAGATGCTGTTACAAAAGAACTCAAATGAATGAGTTTCAGTATTTACCCTCCCTCTTAATTTTCTGTTCTGGTGTTAGTAACCTTCTGTTGTAGGAGGTATTTAGAATGAAGTCACTTGAATGCAGCTCTTACACTTCTGGAGTGTGGGTGCTCAGTGGAATATGACTGAGTTACAGTAGTTTGGCATTTTATTATCTGTCATCTGAGTTAAATGCCCTAATTAAACCAACCCCTTCCACTGTAAAGATAAAGTGTGCTTCAATTAATACACACAGCTCTGTAGTGATGGCTGTGCAACAGGGGGCAGCTTAGTTGGTTAAGGCATTTATTCTGGGCATTTTTTGTAAAAAAGGAAGCAAACTATTACAGTCCTCTTTTAAAGAAGGGGTTTTATTTTATTTCTTTTTATTTCAATAAATTAATTCTACCCTCGTGGTTCAGTTCTGTTTATTGTAATCCAATGTTCTGCTTTGTATTCAGCTACCAGAGAAGAAAAGGAATAATTATCCATGAAACCTCAGTAGTTGTGTATGCTCAGTTACTCACTGGGAACAGGTATCAGCTGAACCAAAATGGAGAGGTTTATCTGGAGAAGCAGTGGTCCAAGCAAGTTCTTCCTTTTGTTTACCAAACAGTTGTCAAGGTAAATATATAAATATATATAAATATATATGAGTTCAGTGTCCTCTTCCAAGTGTTTCAGATTCAGGTAATGCTTTAGAATAAATGTCCGTTTATTATTTTTTATTATTCTGTTGGAACTGCATGATACTTGAGATTATAAATTCCGTCCTTTTCGTGTAGGATATCAAGGCCTTTGACTCCCGCTTTTCCAACATCAGAACTCTGGATGATTTGTTCCCTCCTGGAAGCACAGCCTTCATGCTGGGATCCCCTTACTACGGCTGCATGGGAGAAGTTAGTGCCAGTAATTTCATACTTTTTCTCCCTGTGGATTTCTTTATTTGCAAACCTAAAATAATCTAAGATGTTGTGTGACAGTTGTGGCCGTTTGCCAGCTAAAATTTGGAATCTGAGAGTCCCTGGTGGTTTAGTCAGAGGAAGAGGGGGTTATTCTGTTTTCCCTGTCATTATTGCTGCCATAAGAGTAAAAAGCATAGCAGGAATGCAGGATTATTTTATTAATTCTTGGGGATAATTTGCAATATTTTGTGCCGTTTTCAGGCGTGGATTCCTTTATTTAATGCTGAGTGATTGCCTCTCTGAGGGTGCAGTGCCAGGGCAGGGTGATGAGTCCCAGACTATCTCTGTGCCTGCTGCAGCACGATTGTTGACCCAGTAGACTGCAAGGTGTGGGATCCAAAGGCTGCTGGGTTTGACAGCATTGTTAATGTGTGGTGTTTCTCTCCAAGGTTCAGGATTCCCATGATGTCATCCGAGAAGGCAGAATTCGGGTGGTTTTTAACATTCCCTGTGAGCCCCAGCTCGATCCTTTGATACAGAACCAGCATGTAAGTTCTTCTCTAGCAAAAGCTCAAACCATGCAGCAAATAAATTTTGCAATGGTAAATGTCTTTAAGGGGTGTTTCCATATTATTCATCTGCCCTTTGTATAAAACCCCTTATCCTTCAGGAACTGCCAATGTTTTTTATTTGTTTGTTTTAAAGAAATATTCTGTGAAATACAATCCTGCCTATATTTTGGCCAGCCGCCTTGGAGTAAGTGGATATCTTGTCTCCAGATTTACAGGGAGTATCTTTATTGGAAGAGGATCGAAGAAAAAGTAAGTTTTCTGTGTGAATTTTGACAGCTCTACAAAATTTCTGACCTGTTTAAGTGCTGTTCTTATCAAGTCTATGCTTTTTTATGATGTGAAGCTCTCTATAAAGGATATTTGCTGTAAACTGAATTGATAGGCAGTGTTTTTCTCTCCTATTATAAATGTGGTTTTACTTTCTGTTTACTGGAGGGTTCTATTTGCTTTAATATTTTAGGCAGATGTAAAATTGATTTTCCTGGTTAGCTGTTTGCATAATTGAATCAGGAGTTCAAACTGACAGTGCCACACTGAGAATAAAGGAGTGGAATTGGGATCTAATTTACTGTACTTATCACTGCAAGTACAAAGGGGCATTAATTGTACCTGTAACTTCTTTTCAGAACTAGTTAAGACTGCTTAAAATATATAAGGAAGGCAATCTGTGTGGTCTTCTGAATGTCCAAATTGTGGTTTCCTAGGACAGATCTGTAAACATGTGTTTGATACATGAGCATCCTCTTGTGATCTGATGTGCACATTTGTTCCTTACTGATTGCTCAAGGACATTGTTCCACAGCTTGGTAAATGCCAGGTAGTTTGTGGTTGATTAGATCTCAATTAAAGAAGAAGGGTAAAATATTTCCTGCCCTCAGTTGCAATAAATTTGGGCACAAAGGAGGACAGCTTTTGGCCTGGACCATTTCTGACACACTGTTAACAACTAAACAACACAACAATTGAATTGTTCTCTGGTTTAAGGTTGAGGTGTGTTTGTGTGGGGGGGTTTTAATGTATGTAAACACACACACACATGTTACTGCAGGTTAATCAACTTCTTCTTGTTTCCAGCCCTCATGGAGATCACAAAGCAAATGTGGGGCTGAACCTGAAGTTCAATAAGAAAAATGAAGAAGTTCCTGGCTACACCAAGAAGGTTGGGAATGAGTGGATGTACTCCTCTGCAGTGGAACAACTGCTTGCTGAGTATTTAGAAAGGCAAGTATTGGAGATGAACTTCATCCAAATTACCCACCTTTGTCTCAGGCTTTGGATTTTGTCCTCTGGTCACAGTTCTGAGAACTGATGAGTTTGGTTTTGGAGATTCCTTGATGGAATTTCTCTATTCCAGTTTTCTCCTTCTAACAGTCTCTTTTTCCAAGGAGAGTCATATTTTTGGGTAATTTTGTTAACAGCTTATCTTTGACAAATTAACAGTACACCAAATTAAGTAAAAAAAATAATTCATTTGGGATTCACAAATTTTGAAGCTCATCAGACTTTGTTTTGATGAGGCTTTTTTGTGGTCTATGTTGATGTGAAACAAAAACTTATCTGCCATTTATTTGCTTTTCCAGGGTGCCTGAACTATTTAATTATGTAGCCAAGAACAGCCAAGAAGATATCTGCTATGAAGATGACATTTGGCCTGGAGAGGATGAGAATGGGTAAGCTGGTCACAGAACCTGTAATCTCATCTGGACATGGTTTTTTGATTGGCTATAAACGTAATTTCCTGAATAGTTTTAATTAATTTCTTTCTATTTTTTTTTTTCTTTTTCCTGAAACAAAACTTTTTGCATGATTCAGATTTTTTTTTTCAGTCCCTGCTGTAAACTCATACAGAGCTCTCAGGTTCTGTTACTTTATGAGTGTATACAAGCATTGTACCTGTATCATATACTTGACTTCAGGGAACGTGTTAAAATGCCTGGGTTATGCAGCTAAAAGCTTTAACTCACGTCATTTTTTATTCAGAGCTGAGAAAGTGCAAGAAATTGTTGCCTGGTTGAAGGCACATCCTGTGTCTGCTTTGTCTCGCTCATCCTGTGACTTGCAAATTTTGGATGCAGCCATAGTGGAGAAAATTGAAGAAGAAATAGAGAAATGCAAGGTATGCAGCTTGCTGGCACTGGGGGCAGGGGGGAATAAGGCCATTGAAGATTACTTGTCATTCCAGAGAATGAGAGAGTGTCAATCTGGACTTGGAATGTGAATTATCCCAGAGATTCAGAAGAACTCATTATTCATCTTTGTGGTTGGCTCACTCCTCTGGGGGTGATTTAGCAGCACTAGCTGAATCTGTACTCTGAACTGTGCCTTTTGGGGGTTTCATCAAGGAACAGGTACCTGTGTATAGTCAGAAATACTCAAGTGCTCTTTTTCTAAGTGCAGAGCAGTCCCAGCTGATCTTCCCTTGCAGCTTCTCTTTGGTCTGCAGAAAATTAGAAAGTTGTTTTCCCAAGGCCGCAGTTGAAAAAAAGTGGGCAAGGAAAATACTAAAGTAAAAGCTAAGGGCGAAACCACATGAAATAATGGGCTAATTTTTTTGAAATAACTTGCAAGGGCATCTTAATAAAAGTGATGTGAAATCTGGAATTAGACAATTAAATTCTTTGGTGAGAAATATCCACCATGTTTAAAAACTGGACGTGTTTTAAAGACTTCGGGACAGCTTTACACCATTATTGAAAAGAAACTGAAGAACTCCACGTGACCTTTTCAGGTGGTTTGTTTTACCACTGCCAGTGCTGGTTCCTCCACTGGTTTGTCCTGACTTTCTGTCCCTCTCCTTTAGCAAAGAAAGAGCAACAAGAAGGTGCGAGTGACGGTGAAACCCCACCTGCTGTACAGGGTGAGTGATTTTTGTTTTGTTTGGGTTTTTTTCCAGGAAGTTTGTGTTATATTTTGCCTCAGTGACTGCTATAAATGCATTTTAACTCCAATCCTTCTCCTTTGGCCTGCACTAACACAGTCTGTTGGGTTTGGCAGCCACTGGAGCAGCAGAAGGGGGTTGTTCCAGACCGGGATGCAGAGTACAGGCTGTTTGACCGCGTTGTCAACGTCAGGGAAAACTTCTCTGTGCCAGTTGGCCTTCGAGGCACCATTATAGGAATTAAAGGAGGTAATATTTTCTTCATGGTTGTATCTACATAGCAGGTGTTTTGTATATAACACAAATATGTAATGTGAATACACATAATTTCTCACTGTGAAGCATATACAACTTGAAGCCATTAACCACATATTTACTGTTTTGAATTCAACTTACAGGTTTTCTGTTTTAATTTCATGTGTTACACAGCTGTTCTTTGAGTAAGAAATTACCTGCCCTTTGTTCCTTTTTAATATGAGTAAGAAGTTCCCCTTTGTTCCCTTTTAATATGAAGAGGGCAGATCAACAAAGGAACAAAATGAAGTTATGGAAAGATACGAGCAAAATTAGGAGAAGTAGACATAAAAACAAAGGACATAAAAGACCTTAATACTTACATTGAACGTAAAACTTTATCAAATATGATTTGTCTTCAATGGTTTTAGTTTGAGTTTGGTTTTTTATTCTGTGATACTCCATTTTCAATAATTGGCATGAATTTATACCTTCTTTAACAAGAAGATTAACTATAAATCTATTTCAAGTAAATAAAAGGATTTATCCATTCCCACTAAGTAGCAATTATTTACATTATTGAGATCCAATCATGTAAACTGTTTTCTTACCTGGCATTTTCAAATTTCTATTAATGAAATTACTCAGGAATATAATGGGTTTCTCGTGTTAATTGTTGGTCTTTTCATTATTTATTGCATAACCAATCCAGATATTTAAATAGCTAACATACCCCATGTAGGATGACATTTTGCTTTGTTTTCTGTAGCTACCAGAGAAACAGATGTGCTCTTTGAAGTTTTGTTTGATGAAGAATTCCTTGGAGGCCTCACTATAAGGTTTGTGCAGGGGGGTTCACAGCAGCAGAATAAAGCACTGGTTCCAAATGTCTTTTTAAAACAAGTATGTAGCAAGCAGGTTATTATCAGTAAGATTAAAAACCAGTCAGGAGGTGTCTGTTCTTGGGAAGGAGGGCCTCTGAATCCACTAATTGATACTGAGGCACTAAATTCCAACCACCAGGAAAAACCTAAACTGTTCTTCAGGACGTGGAGGTGCTTTTGTTTTAAAAAGTGTAATAACTCCTCTAGATTTAAGTAAACAGCTCAACTTCTAAGTGCACAGATTTACACAGCAGGCTTCATTTTACCCTTGTTCTTGGTTAAATAAGGTTTTAATGACAGAAGGTAGAGTGGATTCTTACCTGTTCCCTGCATTCCCAAAGCATAGCACAAGTCCAGCCCTTGCAAGAGCGTGTCCTGTGGCACAGACAATATTCAGTGTTCCGAAATGCTGCTTGAATTCCATTTATAATTCTGCTACTGGAATTTAAACTTCAGTTTTCATTTTGAAAAAAAAAAAAAAATTGTTTCTTGGCTCTTAATCTTTTACAGAAGGATTTACTACAGAACTATGCTAAACCAATTCACTCACCTTTAATCTTTAGGCTCAGCAGTGAAGGGAACAATCTCAACTCAGGGTAGTCACTGCTGTTGTTTGCTGGGTTTGCAGCCAGAGGCCAAAGTGGGGAGTGCAGTGGGATTTCAATCTGGGAGACAGTTTTCAGCTTCTGTTGTTTAAACTCGAGCCGTTATCTTTTGGTGACAATTAACCTGTGTCATTTACTTCTCCGCAGGTGCTCCCCTGCCCGAGGTTATCGCCTGCCCTCAAGTGCCTTAATTAACCTGTCCCACGGCAGCCGCTCCGAAATGGGCAATCAGAAGCTGATGGCCATAGTGAAACCTCAGCCAGCAGTGACCAACTACAACTCACATGCACCTGATCTGTCATCTGCGTGCTCGCACAAAGTGCAGCTGGGAGGCCTCAACCATTCTCCTCGCTCCCTCTTCGTTCCTACTCAGGTAAGACTTTGCTGGCATTTCTCCAAAAGTGTTTTCCCCTCGAAGCTGAATTATTGACATGGTTTTCTTCATTGGCCCAAGCCAAAGTTCATTTTTGTGTCAGTATATTAGAAGTAGGATAATTCTTATACTGGAGGAATTAAAAAATTAATGCAATAATGAAAGGGACTGAGATTTCCTGTTGACAGTTGTTTCACTCTGAGTAACTCCAGTTGCATTTCTGAGAGACAAATACTTAGTTTGGAGCATTGACACCACATTTGATGTCAACAAACAGTATGTTTTGGGCAGAGGTGCAGTTATTTCTTTAAAGCTCTGTTCACATAATGCTTCCTGTAGGCCAAGTTTGTCCATGCTCAAAAGAAGATGATAGGATTTCCCTATCAGTTTTACTTGGTTACAATTTACTTTGAAACTACAATAAAGGAGGAAAAATTATAGATATCAGGGTTCTTAGTGGTTTAATGAAACATTATTTTTTTTAGTAAGTGTCTTCTTTAAACAAAATAATCTTAATTGGTAACTTCATGTTGCTATAGGGGTGTTTGAGAACAATTGTCTCATGTTTTGAAGTCTATTCGAGAAAAACTGCTTTCCAAAAGAAAACTTAGGGCAATGAAACACTTCTGATTGATTTTTTTTTTCTCTCAATAATTTAGCAACTGAATGGAAGACAGCATTACAATCTCAGGGCTGAAAATCAGGGCAACTCGCCCCAGAAAGGATTATTTCTGAGTGGCAATCAGAAAAATAAAGTGAGTGTTTTGATTCATTTAGTATTGGACACGAATGTCTCTACTTTGACCTTCTGTTTAAGCAGGTGTCCTTTTCTCATGATTAATAAATAGCTTGGTTTTAGTGCTTCTGATGTTTTAGTCCAGATACAGCCTGGAGCAGAACTGCTCTCTGTTCTTCAGTGGGTATAACATCCTGTGTTATCCCTGGTTAGATATCAGATTTTCAAGAGTGGTGTTTGCATATTTGGGCTTCAGTTCTGGATATCCAGAACTGTAATCAAGTGAAAAATTGTTGTACAAGTGCAACTCACCACAACAGCTTATTTTATAAACTAATTACCTGCAGCTTGTCCTGGTGTCAGTATGAAAACACCTCATCTGGGCTGTGTTAAACTTGGGCCTTCCAGCTTCAGAATGTCTTGGTGTCTGCTGAGCTGTTCAAAAGCTGAATTTATAGCTGCTTTTGGGGGGATCTTGTTTCTTCTTTTGCCAGGCACAGAGTAAGGCAGATGATGAATTCTGCAGCATATGGCAGTCACTGCAGAGCTCGGGGAAGTCTCAGCACGTTCAGCAAAACATTCATGAGAAGGTTTGTGTACAAACTTTAAACACATCCATGGGTTCAAAACAGGAGGGTACTTCGTTTCATCCATCAGTTTGTGATATCAGACAACTTCTCAGTTTATGCTGCAAGTGAATCCTCTGGATCAAAGTATTGTTATACTGGAAAGAGGTGATTGTGTGGGGCTGCTTGGGAAATGACAAGAGAGTTTTCTGATTAGGCTTTGTGCTTTGAAATCCTAGAGTGCAGTTCTACCTCAGGAAATCAAGCTGGCAACTGGCCATCAGTTTTATAAGCCAGGATTCAACGAGAGCAGCTTTAAATGTCAGCAAAGAAAGCAGGAGCCATATAAAAAATGTAAGTCCTAGAATTAGAAACTGTTTAGGAAAACTGCTTGCTTTAGCTGATCTTCAGTGAAATGTCTGTGGAGCTTTTTGGCTTTTTGTAGTTATTGACAGGAAATAATTTATTGTAGTTTTATAAACACTACATTGCAGTTGTTATTGTCAACTCTCCCTGGCAATAATTATTTCAATTGTTCCATCCTTAATCCTGAACATCTTAGACGAGCTGTTCTGTGTTCTGTTGACTTGCCACCCATCTGATATAAAAACAAACCAAAAAAACAACACCATGTGTTTTAGAAAATTTGCTCGTGATTGTATTTGTAGAATACAAAATTAGACGTATTATTGCATGTGCTTTAATTTTATTTTATCCTAGAAGAAAAGCATGTACCAAATACTCTAAAGTATGAATATGTACCACATACTCTAAAGTATGAATTCAACATTTCATAAAACCCTTCAAATTAATGCAACTCTACATATTTATATGGAGTTAATACTTTCTGAGTCTTGATAAGTATTACAGTTTTAATTTAAGAGTGTTTCAAAAAATACGTTCTTTTGTAGTTAAAGAAGATTCCAAAGTTACAAGAGGTGAAAATCAACCACATAATAAAATATCAAACCAACAGGTAATTTTGTCTGTACTGAGTAAATGTGTTCTTTCCTTGCCATTTTCCTCTGATCCGATTTGTCATTTTACAAATTTGCCTTTACTGGCATCTTAGTTGATTCTTTTAATAGGTACAATTTATTTGTTTGTTTGGTTTTTTTTCAGTAGAGATTTTATAGCCAGAACATGAGAGGAAGTGTGGAAGGTGTATGATGATACCAACCTATTTTCCTGTTCCTCTCAGACTCTGTAATGGGGAAACACAAATGTTGGGTTTTCAGGGAGCTGAAACCCTCTCAGGATCTGAGCTTGGGAAAGCTGTTTGCACAACATCTCTGACAGGATTGGGTTACAACAAGTGATAGAATATTCAATAATAATTGCTGCAGTTTATCTCAGAATTTTGCAGGTGTGAATAAGCACAATGTCAAGCTTCTGAAAAGGAATGAAAGTCCCAACATGCCTGTGATTCAGAAGGCTGCAGTTGATGGTCCCTGTACAGGTGCAAAGGTAGGATCTAGGTAGTTGATTCTCTTGTGCTCTCTGAATAACTTTGGTTCCCAGTCTGTTTTGGTCGAGTTGTTCCTGTCACTTGTGTGCAAATTCATGTTTGTAACAGAAGACAAATCTGTGTAACTTTGACCATTCTTTAAATGATTTCTCTGTTCTTCAATACTTGCATATTTTGAATATGCAAACCTTGATGTGGTCTCTGGATGTCTGTTCACACTCTGAACAGACATGACTCTGAACTGTTCAGCTAAGAGAAAAAAAATCTGAATGAGAATAAAATTAACCTCAAATTAATATACCCTTCCTTCCTCTTGCATCTACTTGTAAATATACGAAGTTGATGTAGCTTTTTTCTTTTTCAATTTAAGAAGGACAATGAACTGGAAAGCCTTCTAGCTTCGCTGAAAATTTCCAAAGAAAATGAAGTGCAGACTTGTTCTAAGGAAGCCAGAGCTACAAATGAAGAGCATCTGTCACCACAGTCATTTGCTATGGTCTGTACACTGCAGGAATCATTACATTGCAGTTTAGCATCTGCCATCTTAGCATCAGTGCTTCTATTTAAAGAAACTCCCTGAACCCTCGTGCTGCTTTCTAAAACACATTAACGAGGTTTTAATTAGCTGTTCTCAAAGAACATTAGCAAACACATTTTTTTGTGCTAAGATGCTGTTATCTGTGCTTTGATAAAATGTAACTGATTGCAAAGGAACAATTCAGATTCTGTCACCAAGGATGATGTTTAGTGTTAAGGAGGTCATGGTGTCTGAATGCCAGTGTGTCCTTGAGTGCTTCATTTTATTTTAAAGAAAGGAACACGGATGCTCAAAGAGATTTTGAAGATAGATGGCTCTGATCTGGACACGAGGAATGAAGTGAAAGCCCAGGTTACTGATGGCCCTGCTCCCTCCTGCAGACAGGATTGCCACGGAGCTGCTGTGCAATACAGACCAACAAAAAAAATGGGTACGTTCAGCCAACAGCTCAGAGCTGCACTGGGAGTGACCTTTCAGAACACACCTCACAAAAAAATGAGTATCTTTAGCCAACAGCTCAGAGCTCAGAGCTGCACTGGGAGTGACCTTTAGAACACACCTTACAGCACAGTGCCATTTCTCAAAATGCACTAAGGAAATGCCCATCTTTTTTTCACTTATACTTCTTTATTCAGAGCTAAAATTCTCTTCATATGTGGTCTTCTGTCTTTTGTAAACATTATGAAAATACTGGGGAAAAAATTAAATATGCTTTTTTTTTTTTCTTCTGTCCTAATAATCAAGTTGCCATCCTTGTTTTTTTTTTTTTCCTTTTGTCAGCTGCTTATATGAACAAGCCTTATAGCCCTGGAGGCCCTCAGAACACACCAGCAATAGAAACTGGAGGCCACCCTTTCTCTTGCCCACAGCCTGCACTCTCCACCGTTTCGGAACTGTCTCGAATTTGTTCACTTCTTGGAATGTCACAACCAGATTTCTCTTTCCTAAAAACACCACAGGTAAAAAGCTTTTCCTGCAAAAGTTCCACTTCGCAACTCTTTATCAATTGTCCTGTATTAAATATTTAAACTGACCACTGAAATACATCAGAAAATAAAACTTAACTCCCTCTGTCTGTTTAAAAAGCAACTGAGCAACCAAGTCCTCAGTTTGTCAGCAGTACAGATCAGATCCCCTCACCAATCTTCTGTCATTTTTCCAGACCATGACAGTTTGCCACGTGAAGCTGTCGAATGGTTTGCTGGTGCACGGGCCTCAGTGTCACTCCGAGGCTGAAGCCAAGGAGAAAGCCGCCTTTTTTGCTCTACAGCGTTTGGTGAGGATGGAAAGAAGCTTTTAAAACCTTGGTCTCCCTTGCACTGCATCTGTTTGTGACCCTCTGGTTCCTTCTTCCTAGAGCTCTATAGGAGTAAACTTTGCTTCCCCTCCACCGGTGTTTCCAAATTATCAGCCTCTTGGAGTTCCTGTTCCACCTGGATCAATCCCTCCAGTGTTTGCACAACCCCCTGGTGAGTGTTTGACTGGGACACATTTCAAATATGTAATGGTGTTCTGTAACTGCAGCAGTTCTTCATGTGAAAATGGATGTCTACCAGAACCCCCATTTTTTGGTCTTCATGTATGTATTTGTGTGTCTGAACTGTTCTGAAAACAGTTGATAAACCTCTTCTCATCACTATGCAGATGAATTCAATACAAAGAATCATGACTCTCCCAATTATTTCTTTTCCTCAAGAATATGTTTATCCATTCAGTCTTAGGTGCTTTTTCCATTTTGGCTTTTTTTTTTTTTTTCCTTTAAAATGATAGAATTAGTTCAAAGCTGATAGTCCTAGTCCAGATTTCATAAGAAGTATCTTCCATGATTTTCTACATGGATTCCCCCATATAGTTAATGTTTATCCATGCATTAGTTTTTATTGGATTGTAACCAACTTTCCCTGAAGTGCTACATCACAATGCTGTTGTACACAGCCAAACTTGAGCATGGTAAGTAACCCCCACCCCAAAAATTGCTAAAAGTCCTAGATGTAGTTCTGTAAAAACAGAGCTGTTTGTTTGGGGGGGGGGGGGGGATGATAAATAAATACTTAGCTGTTTTCAAGTAAATAGGAAGATTTATGAGGCTTTATTTGAAAGGTAAACAACACGAAGACAAATGTAGTTGGGTTACTTTTGGGGAGTTTGTACCCTCTTTTGTGGCAAATTGAGCTAAAAGTTCCTTATTTTCCTAGCTAATATGATGCCTCCTCCATCATCTCATATGTTTGGTCCAGTGTCCTGGGGAACTCCAGTGCCTAAGCATTACTATCCTGGCTCCTACCCAGGAAATGTGTCTCTTGCAGGAACTATTCCAGTTGGTTCCCACAACCAGTTTATACCTCTGCAGGTAAGAGCAGCAGCTTTGTCTTACTGTGATATCTTTGTAAACAATATGCCTATGTGATGAATGCAATGACACCCCCACTGTGAAGTACTGCTTGGTATTAGAAAATTAGTGTCAAAAATTGGGTGCGTGTTTTCTGGAAGTGGAATATTTGCGCTTGTCGAGAATGCGTTCTGTTAAATAATATTTATTTAATTTAAAGGTAACTAAAAAAAGGGCTGCTAGCAAGAAAAACTTTGAACTCAAGGAGTTTCAGAGTTGCCCTCAAGCTGCGCCACTAAAGAACGACCAGCCAGTGTCTTCCGACCACATTCAGCAAGACAGTTCTTCAGCTCCTTTAAAATCTCCTCAAGCTGCTCCATCCACTGGTTCATTTCAAGACAATGTGGCTACTCCAAGTGCTCCTCAGAACAAATCAACACCAAACACTTCCAGCAAGCGAAAGCCAAGGAAACTGGCTGTCAATTTTGGCGCACCAAAATCTGCAGAATAAACGTGGTAGCTGGGTGTATTTGATTTTTAACTCTTCCCCCCCCCCCCTTGTTATGTTCTGTCATTTAAAAAAATCAGAAATCTCGATTAAAAAGACCAGCCACTTTTAAGTGTAACATAGAAGGAACTACATTGTACTCGCTATGATTTTCAGGTTGTCGTGAAAACTCTAACAATTATGTTAAAACTCTTTTTTTTTGTTTTCCCTTCAATTAGCAAGAGGCAGGAGATGCTGGGCTGAGGCTGCCATGCCCTCCATGTGCCTAGGGTTCTGAACAGTGGCTGGCAGACCCCGTGGGGTAAGCAGCAATAACTGTGGCAGCCTCAGCTCGGCATTGCCCTGCTCTCTGGGAGGGACATGGAGCAGTAATTAGTTGGGCATCTGACGCTGTCCAGTGGGACATTTTGTACTCTAGGTTATTTCTAAATAGTGTGAGAAGACAGAAAGCCAAAGTCATTTACAAGCAGCTCTGCATTGGCTCTGCAGGTGCATGTGAGTGGACTCGGTGTGGCTCAGAGCTACCTGCAGTGCAACCACCCAACAGCTCCGAGCACCGACTGCTGGGTGTGTCCTGGAGGGCAGCAGCTTTACCACCTGCAGAACGTGGGGTTATTGTGTGCCTGGGGTTAGGGGGGCAGAGACGGATTGCTGATGCACAGTCTGCTCCAGGAGACTCATTTATAGGATGTTACTGAATAACAAAAAGCTATTTGCAAAGTAGAGAGCTCTTTGGGAAAGAACATTCATTTTTTTAGTCTATCAGTTTCTTTGTTTTCCCGTGATAAAATGACATAGTTACCTACTACACATATAGATGGCTTCCTAAATGCTGATGATATCCTGATTTTTTCCTAAGCTGTAGAAATGGCCAGAGTTTAAAGATGTCCATTTGTGCTGGGTGACTGTCAAAGTTATGTTTACTTAGAGTCCTTTTCTTCCTTTAAAAGTCTGAGCCCTGAAACCTCTATACTAGATTATTTTTTTTTAGTAGTTATTTTTAATATTTATTTTTTTAGTTTTCTGACTTGCAAAACTGAATTATCAGAAACTGATGCTATTTGTTCCAGAAGAATATTCAGACAGAAAGTTGAATTGCATTTTTGGACAGAGCTGTCATTAGTTCACATAGGAAAAAAAGAAGGCTCAGAGGTCCTTGTACTGTTTTTAACCCACATGCACCATTCTTGTGGACATGAATGTGAAATCTAGGAAATAATTGGAAACTCTGGTGCTGCTTACTGACATGGATTAAATTTCATTTTTCTTCTTTGTTTTAATCTCTTCTAGAAAAAAATATTTTTCCTCTAAGGCCCAGGAAACAGAAATAAAGCATCCTTGAGGGATTCATTTGGTTGCTTCCAAACAGGTTTCCTGCTGGATCTGCAAGTCTGTAAACTTTCTTGCATTTGCTCTTTGCCTCCCTTTCTGGTGTCGTGTCAAGCTTCACATTGTTCCTGTGTTACAGGATTTTTTAATCTTCATTTCTCCAGAACAACAGGATTTGTAGAATAGCAGCAAGCCTAGAAAAAGGATCACAGAGGTAAAAACAAGGTTAAGACATTTTATTCATTTTACTTAGTATCACAAAACTGTAAAGTCTTAAATGACATGAATTTTGTTGTTCTCTTTGTAGTCAGCTGGTCTCGAGAGGGTTGGAAGGGAAATGTGTATTTTTTGGTAGTTTTTTGTCATTAGCAACACGAGACTGCCTTGATGCTGCCGTGGCAGTGTTTGAGCAGTGGTTGTGTGAGTGTCACTGTGAGACACTGGTGTTAATCCCCCCTGTCCCCTGGGAATTAATCTTCTCACAGGAGGAAATGCCTGTTGAGAAATCCCCATGATTCTTTCGTCACTGAATGTTGCTGTATCTGGGCAGCCAATTTCTGCAGAGTTTGTAGAAACAAAGTCATGAAGGACACTGTACTCTCACCAGTGAACACAGCAGTTTTTATTAATTATTCTACTTATTCTACTGGCACTGAGATTTCTGCTCCCTCTTCGAGTGGAATTGCTTTGTGTAGTATAAATAGAGGTTAAACACTTGATTCTGTAGCTGCTGCATTTTGTGTTAGTCCCTGATTTGGAGCTGATCTCTGATACCAGCTGCCTGGTGCCCACTTAATTGCAGCCCTCCATGTCCTGGTGGATGTGACATTGCATTGATCTCTGCCGTGTCCCCCCCCCCGATTTCATTTTTATATTTTAACAGAGTCGTCATCTTCGATTCATACAGATATAAAATTGAAGCATTTCTTTTTCTCATAGATGAAAAGTATTTTGTAAGCACTGGAGTTTTTCATTAGATCTTATACAGAGCAGTATTTTACTAAAGAAAATCCAAAAGGGAAGACTTTTATGTGCGCGTTTTTGTAGTTTCTGATTTTTTTAAAATAACTTTTCATTGTTTATCTGCCAAGTGAAATGTTTAAAATTTGCATATAAATGGATACAGAATGTATTTTTTGTGCTGTTTAGTGTTAAGTGTGCATTTGCAGATTTTTAGCATGTAGTTGCACAAAGGACTGTGCAGAGATATTTTGAAATATGAATATATGCTACACTGAAGGAAAAACATTCTTAAATGCTATATAGAACTCTAATGCAATAGAGTAATTTTATAAACTGTGTCTGTGTCTGCTTGGATTAAATATTGAAACAAGAAACATTACTTATTTTTCACTGTTTTATTTCCAAATACTGGATGGGAACTGCTGTGTGCTCCAACCCAAAAGCTTCAGAGAGAAATTAAATCTAATGAAGCCCAATTTGGGTGATTGTCAGAAGTAGCACCTGCCCTCCTGAGCTGTTTCTTGGTGACTTTCAGCTATAACTGAGATAAAAATACAAGGTTTTTTCAACAGGCTGTTGGTCACGTTACAGTTAAAAGCATTCAACAGGATGATCTTCCAAAGTTTCTTTGCCCTTTGGCACCAATTAGATTAAAAATTAAAAAAAAAAAAGCTGGAAAAAAAAAGCTGGTGATGGGTATGCAGTGTGGGGTGTCTGCAGGGAACACTCTGGTTGGGCGCTCAGTCACATTGCTCAATTTTAAGATTCTCAGATATAATCCTGCATTTCTTAAGCTCTCTTTAAATAATTAGTCAATGAACTTTTAAGTACTGCAATTATCCTGCGTGGCTGTTCTGCCCCCTTGCTTCTCCATCTCCATACAGAGCACTAAAGAGAAGAAAAACAGGTGAAGGGAAAACTTGAAAATATATTGGTTAGGGCATAATAAATCTTGCATGGACACTCCCATCCAAAAATGAAGGGACTGCTGTTCAATTTGCTGTAGTTGATGTGAACTATCCAGGTGAGTGAGTTCCCAAAGAAGGAATTGTTATTACAGTAAGGATGTTCTTTTATTCTTTTTATTTGCAATGTGATCTCCATCTGTATTCCATAATCAGCCTTCCTTACTGCTGAGAGACAGTGATGTTCTTCTCTTTCTGCCTCTGGAAAGGGGACACAGTGACACCAAGGGCACAAGGGCAGTCTGAGCACACATGCTTGGCCAAAAGAGTTCAAACTCAGGTGCAGGAGCACCCCTGGCTATTGAGACTGTACCTGAGAAATGTTTTGGAGAATTGATCTCATGAGGTAAGCAGTTGTTGTTTATTAACAAAAGAATCCAACAGCAGTTCCTTATTGCTGCCACTTTTTGATGGGCTCCTTACTCTTTTTTTTTTTTTTTTGAATTCACAAATTTTCTGTTTTATTTTTGCTTTGAAAGGCAGAAAACAAGAAGGACTTGCAATGCCAGCAAGTGCAAACAGTAAACCTGATTCTATTATTTGACAGCACAGAGAACATTTTCCATTAAGACTTATTTTTTTCTGGTAGAACTTGGTCAGTGGCATCACTGCATTGGCAGTGTTTTATGGGAGTCGATGGTCACACCTAGTCCTGTATTTTCTGTAAGTGAACAAAAGACAAAGGCTGGCAAAAAAAAAAAAACCAACAAAACCAAAGTGTAATTTCTGTGCAAGTAACAATAAAATTCAAAGTCATCAAATGTAGCATGTTGAGGGTACACAGCAAAGCAAAAAGTGTGATTCCAATGCAACTAAGTGTGGTGCATTTATGAGTAACTTAGCATATTTTAGATTTAGTGCCACTTTGGGATAGGAGGTGAAAATTACTGTTAGTTCCTGATGTTTCTTCCAGTGCCTATTTCTTTCAAACAGCTGAAATGTTTTGTCAGTCATCAAAACTGAAGTCAGCAGGTAAATGGAGGGCAGTGTAGGCTGCTGGAACCTGGGAATTTACTGAGATGCTGCCTTCTACATTTTCCTCAGTTTAATTTTTTTCCTTTTCGTTCCCTTTGCTTTCTTTTCTAATGTTTTTTTTGGTTTTTAGTGGCTTGTTTTTGTAATGGTTAGGTCTTATTGAAACAATAGTTCTTAAGTGCTTTTTCATCCCTTCAGCCTCTAGTATATCCATTCTCTTGTTCTGACTAAGCCTCATTGATGGCCATTTTTAATGTTTTTAGTTTTTCTCCTGTGAATTTCTAGACTGGAAATCAATGTTATTTAAAGAGCTGTTCAGCCCTGAATTTTCTAGGTACAAGTGACCATCATATAAATATATATATATATATACACACACACACATCTATGAACAGGAACTTAATCTCTGTAAGACAGTATGTTGTTCATAGTTACATCGTTTTCAGGCCACATAATAAATCCTTAAGAGACATCCAGAGGATGATGGACATTATCTTGTTAATTCACATTGCATATCTCCAGATGTAGATATTTCTTAGGTTGGGTAAAAGTAATGGGCAAATAATGACACAGTAACAGTAAATACACCGATTTTCACTTCACTTGCTGTGGTAGAGAAATTCTTGGCTTAAAACTTGATCGTCCAAAGTCCACCTCATTTCCTGGTGAAGGTTTCTTGTGTTGCAGAGCTGGCAGCAAGGAGGGACTGCTTGTGCCTCAGGCCCAGATTGGATGTGCAATTCTCTACTAAAATACAGGTTTAACCAGTCTCTTATTGTTTGCTCCCACTGGGTCGTGCCAAACCTTTTGAACAGCCACATTATGAAACATATCAAGGTATTGCTCTGATTGGAACTCTTTCCCCTGTGCTGTTTTTCAGATAAGTCCTTGTGGAGCCCCAGGACCAGCTGTTAGTACTGTTTTTGTAGCATGAGGGCAGGGTGATTGAGCAAGAATGGAACTGCTGTGGCTGCCAAAAGCTGGAATGACACACAAACCTAACATGATACATTAAGTGATGTCACTGTATGTGGTTCTGTCTGTTGACTTTGAGGAGTACGGGAGGAACTGCTGAGAAAGGGTCATGTGGTAAATTATTGCAGCACTTGCTTCAAGATCATCCCTTTCATTCTGGGCTGTCTGTTGAGTTTCCAGGCGAGGGTTAATGAGTGATGGATATGGGCTGCACCAGCCAGTGGAGCAGCAGAAACCAGTGAGCTCTTTCTTATTTAAGGACTCAAGACCCTGAAGCCAGTGCTTCATAATGTTAAAACTTGTGAAAAAGGTATAGCCAAGGAAATGGGGAAAAGGGTAACTCAGTTTGATGAGGCAGTAGAATAGATGCATCTTGACAAAATACAGCTAGGGAAGAAAAGATAGAGGAAAAAACTCCGCATTACAAGTTTCGTGTCTTGCTCTCCTAGATTTCAGTAGCTGGATCCTATTAGCGGTGCCAGTGACAAGTTTGGTTCATTCATACTGGAAGCCTGGGGTGAAAGAAGAAGTTTCTATGTATCAGTCACACCACAGAAATGCACTCAAGAATACTTTTATTTTAGAGACAAAATAAGTTGACTATCCAAAATGCAGTTTAATTAATAAATTGGAAATTTTGTTTAATAATCTGCTCCTAGAAAATGTCCAGGCTTTCTCAAGATCACGTTTTCCTTCTGGCAGTCAGGTCTGCTGGGTCTGTAGCAGTCCTGTCTCTCAGGGCCTCTCAGTAACTCCCTTCTTGCTGCCTGAAACATGCTGAGTGTGCTAACATTGCTTACAAATGTTCAGTGTGAATTACTCCTGGTAGATGAAGGGTGTGTGGGAATGGTATTGTTAATGACAAAACAACAGAAGCCAGTGCCAGATAAGTCATGTGTGGACAGAAAGCCCATTGCCTCCTCTATTGCATTACTTTTATCACATTACAATCAGAACAATAATATAAAATTTGTATTTCATAAGCCTCTCATAAATGAAGCAATTTTAATGCATGATGCCTATAATTGAGATTATATATGCCATGCAATTTTGCAAGTTGGTTCGTGTTATCTCTTTGCACCGTGTACACATCTAAGCTCTTTGTTTACACAGAATTTAAGCTCTGCAAGAAGAAATCTGCTTACGGTCGCTTCCCTGCAATCAGAAGGGTATGTATTTGTTACATTAAGAGCTTGTATAAGAAGAAAGTAACCTGCACCTCCATTTTCTTTTTGAGGTTTTCAGTAAGACAGGTCCCACTTGCATTGTTACTGTAAAAACACAAATTATGTCCAGATGTAATTTCCCATTTTTCTTAAGGCTTTTTAGTTTTTTAGTATTTGGAGAGATTTTAGCCTTTTATAACAATTACATGTGTTGCATCTTAATGAGGGAGCTTTCTTTGCGAGTTTTAAATAAGTATTAATATGCTCTTTTGATAAATTAGTTTGAAGGAAAGTAGTCTTAGTGAGATAATGAAGTGCTTGATACCTTTCTCTGACATACATCTATTAGTGTATTAACTTGTCAAGTTATAGTCAAAGAGAATATAAAAGTCAAAGAGATTGTGACTTTTTACTGTTGTTCCTTAGGGAGGAGAGGTAAAGCAGTCGTTCCTTGGCTTTCTCTTTCGCGTGCCTTCAGTTCCCTGTGATCCAAACCTTTGTCCCAGTGACCTCTGCAACTGCCCATGTGAGGTGAGAAGCCTCTTCTTAATGTGGCTTTCACTGTCGTTGGTATTTCTGGTTTAAAGATCCAACCACATCGGACTGTTATCCCACACAATATTGTTTTGTAATTCATAGTAGAATTTTTTGTAAGAGGGGTCAAACCAGAAATGCAAGGGGAAAATATTTTCAATATTTCAATGTATTTGCTTTTGCTCTTCCAGCTCTAACTAAATTAGGTAAAACTAATTGACTAATTCTTTTGATAAAATTTGGGTTAAAACTAAATTCTGTTGATACTAGTTTGGGATTGAGCATCCTGAATTTTATTGGTTAACTAATTGAGAATATTTCTGGTTGTTTCTGTTGAAAAAACACAGCGGGAACGCTTATGTCATTAACTCTGTTCCAGCGGTGATTTTAAGCGCGGCTCCCTCTGTGCTGCAAACTGACGGCACGAGAGAATTGCCGCAGCCGATGACTTTGTGTGATTACGTGCAGTTTGTTGGCTGGCGCTCGTTGCCTTCCGATGGTGTTTAACTCTAAAAGCCCTTTGCGTGCGCTCGGTGTGTTTACACAGAGCCCGCACAGCCGCAAGGCGGGGCTTTGCCTTGGCGCTCCCGCCCCGCGTGTGGGACCCCCGGGCCCGTCCCAGGGAGGGAGTGCAGGGCGGGGGCTGCCCCTCCCGCCTGGGCTCTGCCCCGGCCCGCGGCCTGCAGAGCCCGCCCCGGCCGCCTCCGGCGGCGCCACCTGCCCGCCCGGCGGCCCCGCTGCGCCGCCCGCGCCCACAGGCGGGCAGGGCACCCACAGGCGGGCAGGGCACCCACAGGGCCGGCAGGGTTCCCACAGGCGGGCAGGGTTCCCACAGGGCCGGCAGGGTGCCCGCCCCCGGCGGGCTGTGGCGGGCGCGGCCCCGCTCAGTCTGCGCTGAGGGCCGGGCGATGCCGTGCGGGCAGCCCGAGAGCGGGGCCGGGGCGGCCCCGGCGCGGTTCGTGCTGGGGGTGGACGTGGGCAGCACGACGGTGAAGTGCCACGTCTATGACCGCGCGGCCGCCGTCAGGGGCTCCAGCTGCAGGAAGGTGAGTCCGGGCGGGCTCCGCGGCGCTCCCTCAGCTCGGCCCGGCCGGCACCTGCCTGGGGAGTGCCCGCTCTGCCCGGAGCGGTTCCGACCCGCGGGTCCCTTGGCTTGTCCTGGTACGCGGGCATCCCCCGGGTTCCCTTCCCCAGAGCCCCCCGGGGAAGGGAACCCTCAGGTACCGCCGGAGCTCTCGCCCCGTTCGCTCCCCCCCGCCCTTCCCTGTTACCTTCGCTTCAGTCGCTTCTCGGCTAATTCCTGTCGGAACAAAAGGGCTTTTGTTAGCAGGGCATAGCTGAGGCTGGCGCAGGACTTGGCGTTCACACATCCCATCGGGGAACAGCGCCGCGTGAAAAAGCGTTAACTCTGGGACAGGGATTTCGGGCTGCTTTGGGCTTGTACTAATCGTGATTTCAGGATCGAGACAGTCTCCAGAACTCTGCAGTAACTTTTTTACTATTAGTTGTTGCAGTGAGGGGAAGTGTATAAGTCTGATGGATTTCAGAGGTGGCAGGGCTGTTCTCAGTGTAGCTGGAAGCCCCCCCAGTGGGGGATCCCTGCACTGCTGAGCCGTGCTGCTGCTCAGGAGCTCGGAAGCACCCACATCTGAGATCAGCGGTGGAGCCAAAAGGCTCTCTGAGCATCTGCTTTCCAATTTGCAGCTCTGAAAGGAGTTTACAGCCTCCGAAGTTCCTGGGGGTTTGGGCTTCTTTATTCCCTCTGAACAGAGGAAGTTTTCTAGAGATCACACACCCAGATTCAACTGTGTTCTAAAAGTTACACTGTTGTTTCTTCTCTTACAAGAAATGCAGAAAATTAAGATCAAGAAATGCAAAAGCAAATTTGTCTGCACCGAGTTGCACAAGAATGCTGGCTTCTGTAAACTAGGGATCATAATAGTGTTGTGTTTCCTGAACAGGTGGAGTCGCTTTATCCTCGTCCTGGATGGGTTGAATTAGATCCTGAAGTGCTGTGGAGTCAATTTGTTGGTGTAATAAAAGAGGCTGTACAAAGTAAGGGTTTAAAGTTTGAGAAAATAATTATTTATTTATCAAAATCAGTAAAAAGTCTGTTAGATAATAAGGTTATTTTTAACTAGTATTGGAAATCCATCACTGAGCACAGGTCTACAACATGCTTTGAGTTTTATTCAGTCATTATGTAAAGTAGGGCACTTGAATGACCTTTTTGCTTTCAGTGTGGCCAGATCAGGATTGAAGTAGAACCAGTGAATACTTGATTTACACTTCAGTGACAGCACCACGTTTCTCCAGCTTTTTGTGTATGCATCCTTCTCCACTGTCTGGCTTCCTCCACATGCCTCTGTGTATGAAGAGAGAGTAGGTTTGTTCCCCTTCCAGTGTGCCGTTATTCCACTGCCACTCTGTGTGTGTGACTGCCGGGTGATGAGAGGTGAAGGCAGGATGCTGCAGGGTTGTGCTTGCTCCACTGCAACCCGATGTTCCCACTTTTCCCATTCAAATTACATCTAGTTCTTACCATCCCATTCAGCCTAAAATTTCCTAGTACTCCACACACTGACTGCGCACAACTCCCTTTCTTGCCAAACTTCTGCTGGGGATTTCCCCCCCCTTTTCTGGATGCTGCTCTGACCCTGTTCTTGCTCTCTACAACTCCCGTAGCTTTCACATTAATCCAGCTCCAGTGTTGTGCAATCCAGCATGGATTGTCTTTGTTGCCACACTGGTGCAGTGATCCTGTCAGCTGTACCCCAGCTTTCCTACAGGTCCCAGCATCCTTGGCCTGTGTGTACATCACACTCTTGCATCCACTGCTTTAAATTCCTCTCTTTCAACCCCTCTTGCAATTTGGGCTGCAGGTGTTGCTCTGTCTCAAGCCAGAAGTGCCCGTCTCTTCCTTTGGAGGGCTGCCTAGGGAGCAGGCAAAGTCACCATCACCAGGAGTAAGCTGATTATTTTGGGCCCTTGGTTTGTTTTCTCAGTAGCCACGACTGTTCTGTCACGAGAACAGCAGTGCCACCTCAGCCCCCACAGACCTTTCTGTTTTCCTTCCCTCCCACTCTGTGAGGCAGATGAGGAAGCAAGATTTTTCAGATAGTTTCAAAAGGGGAAGGTTGTCTTGTGGCCAGGCTAGGGTGCACTGTTGGGAAGTCATTTTTAGGTCATTTTTAAGTCATTTCTGACCTCACACTGCTGTCAAAAGAAGCAGTCCCACCCTCCTCTTTACAGGATTGTCTCAATTCTCCAGCAGCTTCCTGAGTGGCATCACTGTCCGATTGTTTGTGCCAGCAGAGCTTCCCCAGTGTTTGTGCAAGAGAGGGTGTGGTACCAGGGGCAGGAATGACTGTCTGGAAGCAGGAGGAGCCCAAGCTACGCTTGGCTTTGCAGGGCTTGTGGAGCTAAACGTGTGATTCCATGTGCAGGTGGGTGAGCTGATGAAGTCCAGTCCTACCTAAAGGTGGAAACTCTTGGCTGCACAGTCCCAACCCCCTCTCTTACTCTGGTTCTCCGTCCCAAAGACAGGTTAGCTGAGGAACATCCATCTTTGTCTCTTGGTTTGTTTCTCTGATGGAAGTTCGCTCCACTCATGGAGACATCTGGAGAGCACGAGAGCTTAGCAAGCTGACTGGAGCTGCTGTGAAAATAGCTGGGGCCATATTTAATTAAATACAGTTATATATATTAGAACAAATGTTCCGTAACAGTTGTTTGAAGGTAAGGTTTAACAGGGAAGTTGGTGTACGCCCAGATGTACATTTTTGTACTTCTGATCGTGAGGTATACTCTGCATTCAGTGGTACATGGCTTAAGCAAATTTGTTCTTAGGAATTGTGAAAGATTGCTTAAGAAACATTTAAAGTGAGACATGTCATTATCAAAGTGATGTAAAAAATCAGGACATATTGGCATTCATCTCTTTACTGCCTGCAGGATGGATCTAGTCTCGTTTCTTTAGGAAAATTCTTCTTGTGAGTCTGTAAAGGTGCTTCTGTTTGTGCTTTCTTTTGCGTTCATCCATGTGAAATGCACATTTTAATTGAGTATATGGGCTTATGCAATCTACCTGCCTGTCTCTGGGGTTATTATTCCTGTAGAGTGTCAACAGGCCTTTCAGGAGGCAGAAAAGGTCAGTGTGCCACAGCTGCTTTTGGAAAATCCAAAAGTTAGTTTATCTGCTTTGGATTCAGTTGTCTGACTGGGAGTTCTCTGACATTTCACTGCTCTAGCCACTTAACTGGGCAGCCTGTAGAGATTTATATTCTCTTAAACTATTAATTTCCTAAGGATTCCATAGATTTTCTAATTATATTGGAGAAGCTGTGGTTTTGTTTCTTCAAATAAATGCCTTTTTTTTTTTTTCTGATTTATTTTTGGTTTTTAGCTGCAGGGCTTCACATGGGGCAAATCGCTGGTCTTGGCATCTCCACACAGAGAGGAACTTTCATTACATGGCACAAGTATGTACATTGTGTGTCATTTCAAATGATTTTGTATTCCTTTACGTTCCTGGGCTGGATGGGGGCAGGCTGTGGAAATGCTGAACTGTGTTCAGTCACAACCTGAAAGTAAAAATTGTCAGTCACTCCTGTTGTGTTTGCACAGCCACACCTTACAGCAGAACACATAGGTATTTTTTATTTCTGGTAACAAGTCTGACATTCCAAATGTCTGGGTAGCTTATCTAGTAACTCCTTGAATCCATCAGGAGGATATGCACTTACTTTGGGAATTGCCCCAGTGTTAATTGTCCTGATGGGGAATGGTGGATGATGTTGAATTTCTTGGGCAGTCTGTGTTCTGCAGTTTTAAAGGGGAAATGTCCCAATGCTGTTTTTCAGGAGGACAGGGAAACCTTTTCATAATTTCATAAGCTGGCAAGACACAAGAAGTGCTGAACTTGTGGGTTCCTGGAATAACTCCCTTCTGCTGAAGGTAAAACTGTGCTAATCCAGATACAGCTTGGACACATTAGAGCTGTTTCATTTTTATGACCAATAGGGCAGTATATGGAATACTGCAGGTGTCCTGTTCACCTGGTAGGGTGATGTTCTGTAGCCTAAAAATGTTTCACTGGGCAATATTAGCATGGAATATTGCTCCAAGAAACAAAGCAGCACTGATAGCAGGTGATTAATTAAGGGAAAATACACCTCTAGGTTTAATATGCATTTTGTTACTTTTTGGTCTCTTTGTTATAATGAAATGTTGCATGCTAACATCTTTTTGGCGGTAGCCAGGTGGTTCTTGCTTGGCAGTGCTTTGGCCTTTTCTCTTGTTGTTTTTTTCCACGTACTCTTTGCTTAGATCACCTGTAGAAGGTGTGTTTTATGCTGCTCCTGGCTTGTGCTTCGTACCTTTAGAAGAGAAAGATTTGCCCCAACTGGGAAAACAGAAGTTACTTTTCCCCTAAGTGGACAGTTTAGTGCAGCTGCTCTTTCTGTGCTGTGTGTTGCAGGAAGGCCGTCTGATTTAAGATCCTTACTTGATCTTACACAAGAATAACAGAGTTTCAGCTTTTTAAATCTAGTCTTGTGTCAGCAGCTTCCACCTGTGTTGTCATCCTTTAAAGATAATTGATCAGAAACCTTTCAAGGTGAGACTGAACACTAAGTCACTGTTTTCTTTTGAACCAGGCAATCCGGGTTATTTTTACAGTGCTCCATTTCCTGACTGGCAATGATCGGTATTTGGCACCAAGTTTTCTTACCTTCTCAACACAACAAACTTCCATGAAGCTGTCCTGGGTGTTTAAAAACATCCCTGAGGTAAGCTGGACAGGAACAACAGCAGCTTTCTCCAGGGAGGATGATGATGATGGCAGGTGACTTGGAGCAGCCTGGTCCAGGGAAAGGTGTCCCTGCCCAGGGCAGGGAGGTTGGAAGGAGATCATCTTTCAGGTCCCTTCCAGCTCAAACCATTCTATGACTGTGTGACTGCTGGCTGGAATTGCTGCAGATTTGTCTTGTTCTTCCCCTCAGAGGAAACAGAAAGACTTTCATCTGTGTTAATGTTCAAAGCCCATTCACCTAAATAGTGACATGTGCTCACACAGCTTCTTCCTCTGGCTCTGGAAGTGTGCAGTAGTGAAAAAGCTGCTGAGTTTGCGGTGTGAGATGAACGTTCTCCCACATTTTTTCAGGCACTGATGCTTAAAATGTGTGACTATCAAACCAAGAAGCTCAGAAGATCCTGGCTCTTGATTAAAGCCATGTATTCAGTCACATTTTGAGAGAATTGAGTTTATATGTTCTGTTTATGAGTTCTGTAGTTGTAAACATCATCACTTAGTGGAAATTAGATGAAACCCCAATTTCCCATTTTAAAGGGATATAAGGTGCCAAGGAAAACAACATTCTGAACTCCTTACAGAAGTCATAAACAAGAAAAATATTTTCTCATGAACCATGAAGAAAATGATAAAAGGAATTAGTAAATGTATTTGTCTTTATTGTATCCAGTTGTAAATACTTTTTGTTTGTACGTATATTTTTTTTTCCCAGGCTGAAGAAGCTGCCAAAAAAAACAACTGCTGCTTTGGGACAATTGACACGTGGTTACTGTATAGATTGACTAAAGGTGAATGTTACAGTTCCTCTTAAATATCAGTAAAATGCACTGGAATCGAAGAGATAATGTTCATGACTTGTCGTTTATATATCCTAGAATTCAAATACTTTTTTTGCAATTTGTGCTATTTGGTAATTGATAAATACTTTAATGTATTGACTGTTTAAAAAAATCCCCAAATTAAATATTCTTTGGGCCCTGCCTGGAAGGGAAACAACTATTTGATGTAACGAACCTTCTAAGAGTATAGGATTTAAAGAGGACTAACAGAACTAATTGGTGTTGATTGAAGTAAAGAGCTTGTGAAAGCAAAAAAACCCAAAGAATTGTTACAAATGTGGAAGAATTTCGGGTTTCTGTGCCGAGGGCTAATGCAGAGCGATGGGATGGGTTAGGATTGAGAGGGATGCAGTTGGTGAGGGGGGTGTTGGCTCTCCCATGCAGGTTCCTGAGGGGAAATCAGGTCATTATTGTAGTGAGCAGCAGGTGAAGTCTCTGCCCTCGTGGTGTTGCTGTGATTTTGCTCACACACACTCAGATTGTATTTAATGGGAGCCAGTGAGATGTTTAAAGGAAACTCTGAAATGTCTGGCTCTCTGAAAGGCTTTGTTCTGGTTTTCTCATGGCAGGTTCTGTGTATGCCACAGATTACTCCAATGCCAGTTCCACGGGCATCTTTGAACCCTTCACGGTACGTGCTGTTCTGGGAAAAGCTTGTTGCTGTTTGTTGAGCTTCTGAGAGGATTGCTGACATTTTTACTTTTCCCATTTCATTGCAGAAATGTTGGAGCCCCACTCTGTGTAATCTGCTTTCTCTCCCAGTGTCTATTTATCCACCAGTGAAAGACACGAGGTAACTGTGAAGACATAATTAAAAGAATATGATAACTGTTAAATTAATTGCCTTTATAAAAATACTACATAATCTGCACAGGCTGAGTTATGTGTGCAGGTACACAAAGTTATTTCTATATGCAGATATACTTTCTGTAGAAATATATGAAGTGCAAAGTTTCTTTTTACTGGGTTTCTGACTGTAGTTAGTGATAGTTTTTATGTTTTCTTTAAATCAGCAGCATCACCTTTCATATGTGATGCAGGCTCAGGCCTTGTGTGTGTTCATTTTAACAAGAAGTGCAATTCAGTGTTGTGATTTTTCTCCATAACATTTGTTTTAAGCTTCAACTTTGGATCAGCTGACTCTGAAATATTTGGGGTACCTATTCCAATAATGGCACTGGTGAGTGACAATATTTCCTTGCTTAAATCTGTATATTTGTACCTGTACTATTTATCTGCCTTTGATTTAGTACTTACTTCCTTCGCTGTGACTGAACTACAGTAGAATGGGCTGTTGAATTTTTCTCCCAAACCTCATTTAACACTCTCAGGGGAAAAGGAGGAGAGAGAGGAATGGGAAGGGATTTCTGGAGGTTGAGGTCCATTAAGATTAGTGACCAAACGGTTAAACACTGAATGTAGGGCTCTAAGCTCTGGTAAAGTGTGTGTCCCTGGCTTAAAATTAGTTGTTCTGTACAAAGTTGTGCAACAGAGTCCACTCTGCCTTGACTTCAGTAAGACTGCACAAATATAAGAGCATTTTTTAATAGATCTACTTGTGGTCCCTTTTATATCTTTTTTTTTTTCTTCACTAGAAATAAGTGGAAAATAACACGTTCTTACCTCAGTAGTTACAATTTCAAAGAGAAAAACTCATTATTTTTTTCAAGTGATGACTTGTAGCAAAATCTGCTTGAATTGAGCTAAGTGAAAAAACTGTCACCTAGGTAATTTGAATTTCTCCTGCTATTTTTAAAGAACTGTAGATTAAATTAATCTGGAAATTTCCTGTTTCACCGAGGCGAAAACATAAGCACGTACATTTAATAACCATTATCACTGCTGAAAAACTGAGCTTGGAATAATTGGGAAAAAGGAAGACAAGACCTCAAAACTTCACCTTTCTGTTTGGAGAAAGAAGGATTCAAGCCAAGCTGCTCTGTTGCGCTCTCTGGGACTACAAATACCCCAAATATCAAACCATCAGATATTCTTTGGTTTCCTGACGTTTTTCAGCGGGGGTTGATGTGTGTGTTGGTGGCAGGTGGCTGACCAGCAGGCAGCGATGTTTGGAGAGTGCTGCTTCCAGCCAGGAGATGTCAAACTGACCATGGGCACGGGCGGCTTCTGGAACGTCAACACCGGGCAGCACCTCTTTGCATCCCACAGGAGTAAGATGGGGACATTGGGGTTTAGAGTATTCTGCTCTCTCACTGTTCCTTGGTAGCTGTTAACGATGAGGGGACATGAAGGGGTAAAATAGAGCTGTGCTTTTCCTTCTTTCTTCAGCTGTAGGAAACCAGCTGGGGAGGGCTGGGCCACAAGGCTGTGGAGATTTTTAATTGAAAACACACATCTTGGTTATCCTGAAATATACTTCTCAGGAAGAGAACTTAAGAACGCTACTAGTAATCATGTCTGCTACCTGCATCCCTCCCTCCTTTTTTTTTTTTTCCTTCACCTGTTCTTGATAGCAGTATTATACAATAGAAGGCTGGAGAAAAGAGGAGTTGGTCCTCTGGCTTCTCACGACAAAAAGTTAGAATGGATCAAGTTCCTCCCCTTGAGCCCTTATGCATCAAATTACCTGCAGTTTTTCCATTCTGTTTTAAGAAAATACCTTGCTGTGATCTGATAGAAGTTAAAATCTTCTGAGGCAGTGCTGGGAAACTTCTGCTGCTGCAGGCTGTTCCTTAGGCTAAAATAATTTTGCCTGTGTCTTTGGCAATCATGGGGACAGTAGGACAATTAAAGTACCTGACTTTCTCAGTGCCCTGGGCGTGAGATGTGACGTGTTCAATCTTTAAAGCTGACATGTGTATTTAAGACTGCAGGAGGAATCCCTACACATCTTTGTGCCAGCTATCCATTAGCTGCTGTTCTGGGTTCTGGTCTACATTCAGCTCTGCTGTGTGACAGTTTGAAAAAGCAGCGATAAAGCAGTTCCTTCGAGCACATCAGTTGTCACAGTTCATTGATGCAGTCATGCTGTGCAGGTGTCAAAGCTGTCCCTCTGGCAGTCCAGTGGTTCTCATTAACTCTGCTCATGCCCAGTGTCACATGGATCCATTCCCTAGGGGCAGGATTAGTTACACTCCTGGAGACTCTGGGGAGAGCATCTTCAGGAAGGCCACCTGATGGATAGACTTTTCTGTCCCAAATTAGCTCCCTTTCTTTAGGACTTTTGGCTTAATTAATATTTTTGGTCTTTTTTGCTTTGTGGCTTTACCTTTGGTGAAAAATAAAGATTGTAAGGCACACCTTCACCCGTGGTCTGGAGATATGTGTATCCCTTTTTCCCTTTCAAGGGAAGACTTGGTGATGCAGCTGCACAGCAGATCTCCCCCAGCTGCATCACCAAATCTTTTTGCTTTAGCATTAAAAACTCTGCTATGCAGGACTCCTGTGCTCTGTTCTTACTCAAACAGATACCAAAACTTTTTGTTCGGGGGGGGGGGGGGGGGAAAGAATCTGACTTTTTAGAATCCCTTAGAGAAAATTTGATGGGAAAACATAGATAAATTTTTAGGTATTCACAGTCTCTTTTCATATGAAAAATAAAAGTATGTACAGATAGCTCTTCAGTTTAAAGGGGCTTGTTTTGTAATTTGATAGCGGGGTTTTTTGTTTGTTTTTTTCTGTTAACTTTGGTCTAACAACCTGTTGCTCAAGTCTCTTGTAATCCCATGACTAAATTTTTAAACAATATACTTCACCTCTATTGGTGACTTCATTTTTTTAGCTTCAATTTTGCAAAGGAATTCAGTAAGTAATATTTTTTTTTGTTAGTGGTTTTTGTATGTGTTTTTCTGGAAACATTCAGTTTAACTAAGTGGTTTTCTTTCATGGAAAATAACGAAGGTCTTTATCCACTGATTGGCTGGAAGATTGGGAAGGAAGTTGTTTACTTGACTGAAGGCACTATATCCGAGATTGGCACTGCCATCAGATGGGCTCAGGATATAGGTGAGTTCCTAGCAAGGATTAAATACAGAACTGCTTGAGAAGCTTTTTTATGGGTTCATATTTGTTAATGGACCTGGGTTTGTTATTCCTGACTGAAGAAAGCAGCCCATGTGCTGTGGACAGCAGAACTGCACTGCCACATGGGTGGGTTCTGTGCTGGATGTGTTTGCTTGCAGGCAGCTGGAGTTTGGTTTGACAATCATCTCCTCTTCAGCCTCTGCCTCAGAGTCTCCTACCTGTGGAGGCTTTCATTTTCCTGAAACATTTCACTCCTTGCTTTCTCTTGAGCATGACAAACTCCCTGCACTTGCTGCAGTGCTCTTGAGAGGACTCCAGCTCCACATCTCAGAGTTAATAAGAGGCTTGATTTATAGGAAAATAATGTGGAGAACTCAGGTAATGGTGCTGTCACTGTTGCTTCCTACAGAGGTGATGTGCCTGTTGGCTGCTGTTATTATATAATGAAAGGGTTTGCATTCCAGTTTAATGAAAGGCTAAGAAAATAATAGCTCTGTGGTAGCTGATGTTCAAAATCACTGCTTGTTTACAGGACAACTGTTCTGAGTGTTCTAATTAGAAATTTGCTTGGCTTACTTAAAAACTTAGCACGGTTTTACTGGGATTCAAGATTGTCTGGGAGAGGTTTCCCTGGGGTGTAGCTCGCCACAAAATTTCCCATTTCCTAAAGTTGCCAGCTTTTGGTGCGTGTGTGGGTTTCTGTGCTCTGGTGTGTGCCCTGGGGGGTTAAATGTGACTCAGGTTGGTCCTCAGGTCTTCATCATCCAACATTTCACTGAGCCCGGAGGGTAACAACCACCAGGCTGTGAGGAAATGGCCCAGCTCAGAGCTGTGGACTCCAGGGTCAGTGGATAAATGTGCTACTTCAGGCTCCAGAGTTAAAATGGATTTTATTGGCACGTGCACAAGTGGGAAGGATTTCTAGCTAGTCAGTAGTAAAATGGTCATGAAAAAAGGCACGCTGCTTTAAACTCTGTAACAGGTAAGAGCTTTATTTTCTCAAAGTATTATTGCAAAGAAGCACAATTCAGCAACTTTTACCAGCTTTAGAGAATGGTAGAAGAGGAATTGGGCCAAATCATTTCTATCTGTTTGGAAATGTAGTGACCCCTTACAGGATGTGCAGATTAAAAAGCTGCAGCCCAGGAGGTGGGAGAGGATCCTTTTGAGTTTAGCCTTCATCTGAAGAGTTGGGGTTTTTTAATGTGACTGATGGACATGAAACAGAGAAGTGATCATTTCCCTCGGAGTGTGTAGTTTGAGAATGTTACAAAAGACAATATTCAGACTCTAGATTTTTGTCTCTTAGCGAGACAAAATGGAGAAATTGAGTTAAATGTAATAAAAGCACCCAACTTATGCATCCTTACAGATCTTTTCACCAATGTAGATGAAACAGCAAAGATGGCACAGAGTGTTGCTGATTCTCAAGGAGTTTGTTTCATTCCAAGTCTCCAGGTAAAATTATGAATATAATTGAGAATGTATTTTTAATAACCCAATTAAAATTTTAACTTTTACTTGTTGAAATGTAATAAGTTCCATCCTGTCACAGTATTTATTCTGTACTACTCAGGTTCTTACTGTCTGTCACTCACACAATGTATGAAGATCATTGTCAGATCAGAATGCTTAAACACCTTTCTCCCCTTGTGAAAAAAATCTATCAAAATAGGAAATGGTTTGAATTACCTCAGCTCTGTGTGATTCTAAAAGTTCTTTGAGAATTTTTTTTTTTTTAATTTATATTTGTCTACCATACTTATTTTAATCATTCCCAGGACAAGTGGTTCTTTCTGAAGAGACTTAACATCTTTACCCTTCCCTTAGTGTAAGCCCTGTATGCTGATGGAACAAAGCAAAGAGGAATTTCCTTGCTTCTCCAGGTAGCCCAGCTCCCTGCTCTCAAACAGCCCCTTATTTAGGATGGCAGATTTGAAATAAGTCACTTAAACCTTTTGCTGTTGAAAGAAGCTGTTTAAACTGTTCACTGAGGTAGCTAAAATTAACACTATATTCCTCTTACATATTGTTTTCACTTTTCTTCTCTCACCGCTGCCTGTCATTATTGTAAGTTATTTTTTTCTTCTTACTCTTTGATTTCTTTCTTAAAAGCCTACAAATAATATCCACTGAACTCATGGTGAGGTGTTTTGTGCAGATTTCTGTGGATGACGCATATTTATGTGCCTCTTTCCTGGGGCTGAAGCCTTCCACCACCAGAAACCATCTTGTCCGAGCTATACTGGAATCTGTGGCTTTCAGGTACTGGTTTTCTTACACTGGCTTTTATTTAGATCAGCAGTGTTAAATGGATACCTGCACTTGTGCAGTTTAGGAAATACAAATAGTAGTGATCTGTTACTGCTGTGCTGGAAAGGAGTTTCAGCTGCTTCCTTTTTTCCTTATCACTTCACAGGGACACTGGTGTATATTTGCTAGTTCAGAGTTTTTGTTATTAATAACCATGTAGGTTGTTAAATGATATTGTTTTTTGCATGTTCTAAAACTGCTTTCTGTTTGAAGTTTGTCCTTGCTCTGATGACAGTGTTTTGTCAGAATTTGTAGCCCATTCCAGCTCTGTTTAAAGTACCCCAGAAGCTCAAAGTTTTATGTTACAGAATCATGGAAAATGCTGAGTTGGAAGAGACCCATCAGGATCACAGAACCCAACTCCTGCCCCTAAACAGGACTCCCCAAGAGTCACACAAATAAACAGAAAAACAGTAGAGACCCTTTGTGTTTCGATTTTCTCCAATTCAATGAAATGTTTCAGAACAAGTCAACTTTGAAGCCTTCAGCTATTCCTCTTAAAGAACAGCTGGGTAAACTCCAATTAACACTCTGCTGGCCGACTTCCCTCACTCTAAGTGAGAAATCAGGGAGTGCATCTTGCCTGTAGAAACCTATCAGCAATTTTCAGTGGAAAAAATGGACGTTCCAGAATGGGCCATGATTTAGCCATACTTGTGCCTTTGCAATAATGACCAGTAAGGACCACAGACCAGTTTCATTGGTTCTGTTTTTTTTTTTATTTGTGCATTCTAGAAACTCACTACCTACTGCAGCAGTTCTGACAGGACTGAGGCTTTTTTTGCCTTGTGTTTTATTTTCTGACTATGTAGATACTGGAAACACTTCATGGAATATGTAATGCTTAATTCAACTAAATCTTTTTTTAAAGAAACAAACTGCTCTATGACACCATCGTGAAGAAGGTGCACGTTCCTCTTCGAACCATTCGGTGAGTTCTGTGGGACTTCTAAATTTGATATGTGGGAGTTTGACCTTAAATAGCTGTGAACTTTATTGTGCATTTTATCTTACTGTAATAATTCTGTTGCTGAGAAATAGATGATTCCCAAGTCAAATGTTAATGTAGCTTCCGCAGCAGTAGAGTCTCCTCACACCTATTGGCACTTATGATTGGCAGTAGGTGAGCAATGAATTGCTCTAATTATTAAAACAAAAGTAAAACAGAAGGCAAATGCTTGTTTTCAGGTAGTACAGTGTAGTTCTGGAGTGCACGTTGCAATGTCACATTAAGAGTGCAAACTGAAAAGTGGGAAGTGTGGAACATCAGCCTGTGGAACACCAGGAGTTGTTTTCTGAAATGCCAGCAATAAGCATTTGAACTTAACACATCTTTCTAACTACTTTTTCCCTTCTCCCTACAGAGCTGATGGAGGTGTCAGTAATAACAGTTTTGTTATGCAGATGACTTCAGATTTAATTAATAAGAAGATAGAAAAACCTGCAAATGCAGATATGTCCAGCCTTGGTGCAGCTTTTCTAGCAGGCCTCGCTTCAGGTATGTAGACATTAAAAAGATTGTTGTTTTTCCTTTTATAATGCATTTTTGTAAATATGAAGGGAAAAAAAAATCAGACAAAAAAAGGGCTTAACTTCAAACAAGAGTAAGAATTCCCCAAGGGATTAGTTTAGCCTTTTTGGTGGGAATCCAAGGTAAGTAGTGTTTGTTTCTCTGTCCAGTCCAGTCAGAAGGATGTACTGGAGAAGAAAGAGGTGAGCCCTGTCTTTGCTGCTGCTCATTCCCATATTTGTGCTGCCTGAGCAGTGCTGGATGGGGGTGGATCACAGGGCAGGGGAGCCACTGCACTCACCTGCAGCCACGTCATTCCTGCTGCAGTTGTGTCCTGCCATCTGTGAGCTGAGCCTCTGTTCTGTAAGGTTTTCACAGAAAGGGAAGTAAAAAAATAAATTATTAACAGAAAAAAATAGCTCTACTTACCCAGAATTGTTTTATATCATTAACCAGGCTTACAACTACAAACTGTCAAGGGTTTTGCTGAATATGCACCTACAAAATGTATTTTCATTACATTGCTTTGATGGGTGGATAACACAAATGGAAGATGAAAATTCTATGCTTGTGTAAGACTTACTCACCAATTAAAAGTGTCAGAAAGTTGGAGCCCATGACAGGCAAGAAAGATTTAATGATATAAATTATTCTGAATCTGTAACACCAGCTGTTTTCTGCCACATATGGAATTTTTTAAGACAGTAGGAAAGCAGTTAAATCTTGGGGTTTGTGGCCCTTCTGCATTGGGAAGGACCTGCAACCGACAGCACTTTGTGGATGAAACCTGCAGGAACTTCAGAGCTGCTCCTTGGAAACCATCCCAGCTGAGCAGATGCATTGTCAGGATTCCAAACAAGTGGATCCTGTTGGAAAGGGTTTTCACAATGTTAAAAATGTGCTTCCCTCTGAGAAAGCTGTTGGTTGAGTAAAGGAAAGCTGTCGTGATTTCTTACTGTGTCTCTGCTTTGGATCTCTGGGAAATAGATTACAACAACTCAAAAAGAACACATTTACAGTTGAGCTGGAGAATGAATTTTCTGTTTGTAGGATTTTGGACTGACAAAGAACAGCTCAAGAAGCTGAGGAGAATAGAAGCAGTGTTTGAGCCCCAGAGGGATGCAGAGGAATACAGACCTGCTATGGATACCTGGCTGCAAGCAACAAAACACTCCCTGCACTGGTAGAAACGGGCATTTTAATTCTAGAAGAATTAAGATGTTTTCATGCGTATTTATAACAGGGCAGTGAAAAGCGTAACTGGAATTGGTGCTGGTGTCTGTAGGGGTTAGGTGGTTTCTCCTGAGGAGCTCACCTCCCTCTGATCTCTAAAATCTTGGCATGCTGATCATCGAGGAAGGGTAAAAGGCACACACATTCCCCTAGGCACTGCTGAGAAACTTCAAATGATTGTTGGGGGCGGGTTGTGATGAACTCAGTTGTGTACAGAGACATTTTATTGTTACCAACTTTTGGCCGGCTTTCTAAGTAAACATTTGGCCCAGCTCTGTGAGGACACTTCTGTGCACTAAATTAAGGTGAAATACAAAAGCAAAGAGGCTTTCAGCACTCCATTTAAAAAAAAAAAAAAAAAAGAATAATCCAGGATTTTTGTAGCTATGGTTCCTATCTAACTTGTAGCTCACTTTTTAAAAAATTTTATAAAGACTAAAAGCAATCTTACCTAGCATGGCCAACACAGATACATTGAAAATACTTCCAGGTATGCTATCTAACTTGTAGATATTTGTACCATTAATATTTTCGAGGCCATTTTTAAATTCTATTATTATTAGCTAAAAGGGAGTTAAAAGTCTATTTTTGAAGCCATAAATTACTTTTGTATTTTTTAAACAAATAAACTATAATTAAAGAAATGTGTAGTTAACTATTATGTATTTGCTAATCACTACTCTTAAATTATTGTAATTTCCTCAGGAGTATGTGTAAATCAGCTTCAAAAATTTAGAATGATTAAACATTTTCATTTCAGAATAATACCAAGTTGGAGCTGTGGGTGATTGTATTCCACAGACACTGGAGGCAAGAAACTGTCTTTGACTTGTCAGTTGTCCTTGAAGAGGGTTGAAGAGCTATCATTCCCTTTTCCTTGTGCTGAAACGTGACAGGTCAAATCATACACTGTTTCCTCAGTTTCTTTCAGTCATGTGCTATGAGTTGGAGCATCTACACTAGCTGTGTTCTTCAAACTAGCTCACATTTGTTTGTCACTCCTAGCTTAAAATGCCTTTTTTTTAATTATTCTTTTGTTGTTTTCTACCATTCAACCTGTGCTACATCCTGGCAAATTTTTTTCCCCTCTGGGTATCCTTCTGAGTGGCAGAGACCATTCTGTCCTGAACCTTCTTTAGTGGAAATCCTTAATGAAACAGGTCTGTTTGCTGATTTCTGGGAATGTGCCAGGATATACAGTCACGGCTAATAGCTCCACAGATACTGCTTTTACAAATGGGGATAAGACTCTGATAGAAATAGTCCCTCCTCCTGCTGCTGTAAAGTAAGAACCTGCAGTTACAGGATTTGTGAAACAGTTGCTTTGCTTTAACACCTGTGTTCAGCTTGTGGTTCTTCCCTGTCCTTACAACGCCACTGCTAAAGAAAACGTTGAACAGAAAGGCTTTTAGTGTGGCATTTGGGCAGCAGTTTGTGCCTCAGTTGGCTGGTATTTTTGTTCTCACTGGAAGAGTTTAGATTCATCAACATCTGCCTGGGGATAATGTCCACCTACTGCCCTTGACTCATGTCCACTTGTTACTCTGGTGGTTTTGCTGGACCTTCACATGGGGTGCTTTTCCTCCTGGCAGTAGCAAAGCTGAGGAGATGGAAGATACCCAAATACCCAAGACATTGTATAGTCCTATTGCTCCAAGGAGTGTCTCAGAGAACCTGTTTGGGATAACCATTTTACCACTGGCACTGTTTAATTTTGAGAAGCAGAAAATTTCACCTGTTTTCCTTTCATGAGCCTGGAATCTACAGGAGAGGAACTTCACTGCAAATGAAGGATGTGAAAAAGCCTCAGTGTATTCACCAGCTGAGCCGCTGCAATGGCCTGCAGAGTCGTGAGTTCTGTTGGGAAGAGGTTCAGAGGAGTGAGGAAGTCTCTGAAACAAACAGGGAGGTGTCTTTAAATCTCCCAAACGGAGGAACCTTTGAAGGTTAGAGAATGCTGCATAGTTGCCCAAAGACTAACCAGACTAATGGCCATCCTGAAGAAATTTGGTTGCTGATCAAAGTCTCTTTTGCTTATCTGCTACAAGAAAAATTGGTCTTACCCTCCCAGGGATTTTTTAATGTGCTGATATCTAAAAGTGGTACCTGTGAATTGATAATGAATTTGAAATTATTTTACAGGTGCTGTGCTGTCTTAACAGAAGGGCATGAAGACCAATGTAGAACTTCACTCATGCTAACTTTTATTTAAAACAAGACAGCCTTTACTGCTGCTGGGTTTATTTGTATTTAGTTTTTTTTTTTTTATTATTTCAGGGCAGTTTTCATCAGTTTGGAAAGGATATGCAGTGTTACATTTTCTATCGGCTGAGTTTGATAATAAAGGTAACAGTACAAAAATGATAAATATTAGCCAGTTTGTAGTTTTATCATTTTAAGAGCTACACCATGTTGAGCCTGTGAATGTTTTACACAGGATTGGGTAGTGATGCACCTCATCAGGCTTACAAAGAGGGGGCAGTTCAGCTGAGATGTGTTAATGACCTGTGGGCATCCTGCCTTCACAGATACAGTGCTAATAGCAGATAATGCCATCTCAGTTTGGCACTTTTATCATTCCTAACAACACACAGTCCTGTTATCTGCATGGGGACTGTATGGCTTGAAAAACACCTCTAATATTGGAGGGATCTAACTACTACTGGATTAAGTGTTGCATATCAAGAGAACAGTCTCCAGATAGTTGAACATGTTGAGCAGACGTGTGAATTTCCTTACATAACTAAGAAAAAAATCAGCAGCTATGTTTAAAATCTCACTGTAATGAAACTGGCCAAGATTTTTGAGTTCTGTTTCCTTCTAAGCAGTATTTTCTTCTTTCCTGTAACAGCTGGTTTTATGTAGAATTAAATTCAGTTGCTCTCGTCTGTTTTTGACAAGGGCACTCAGACTTGCTCTCCTGATTAGAAGACAGTAAAAAAGGAAAACCCTGGAGCTGCTGTTTCAGCCTGCTAACTTCCACTGGTATAATCTCTGTAGCAAGATCCTTCAGCTAGTCCCAGTGTTTCCAAGATCAGGGCACAGCACAGGAGACTCTCAGCACGTGGAAAAGGGTAAGAAGCACTCCTTGGCAGTCAGTGGGGCACAGCACAGAGCGGGTTGTTACTGCTCTCAGCCAAACAGTACACAGCTGTGATCCCCCTGCAGACAAACTGGAGTGGCAGTCTGTGGGGTGATTGGGAATGTGGCAGTGCCCTGCCCCAGGAGATGGGCAGCATGTTAGTTTGAGGCTTTATAGGGAGTCAGTGCAGGTTCAGCAGGAGGAAAGGAGCAGTGGTGGAGGGGCAGCCTGTCTGGGGTTAGTGTTTGTGTAGGTTATCACAGCACAGGTGGTACTGGCAAGAAAGTGAAACTAGTAAATGTTGGAAAGGGGAATAGGAGGGATCTGACCAGCCAGGGTGAGCAGGGTGGTGTTCTAAGGCTGGGAGACCACTGATGGGTTCTGGAGGGAGACACAAGAGCTCCCCACACTGCAGGCTTGACTGTAAGTAGCTGCTAAACCCATGCCTTAGCATATCTAAACAAACCCAATTCTAAGCCATTTTTCAGTGCAGCCCTCACTCTGGGATAAAGTTTGGGATTTGTGAAAGTTCTGAAGGACTGTGTATTGATTTAGAATGTTACCTCTAGTGTCCTTACCCTCGTGTGAACTGATCACTGTTTCACCAGCTTCAAACTCAAGTGTGTGTGTGTAGAGGGAGTTATTCTGCAGTTTGCTGTAGAAAGCAAGTGCAAACGACGGGAGTGACTTTTCTCTTTCTCTCCTTTGTGGTTAAAATGGCTATTTTTCATACATCCATAATCAGTTGTAGCATCTAACTTCAGCTCCTTGGTGCTTCTTGCAGAAAGGTCAAGAAACCAATGAACCAGAAAGAGAGATTTGAAGCCCAAGTGTCTTTATGGAGGCTGGGTTTGAGTTCAAGTATTTGTTCAGCTCAGGTAACTTACTGAATAGTGCAATCAGCCAGCCCCCCTGGTTTGCTCCCTTTTCCAAGGCAATGCACGCCTTCTGCACTCGTGTCAGGGCAGGCATCATGGGACAATTGGGATTGTATCTGCTGGAGGGGTCTCCAAGAGAATACACAATAGCTTGCTTTTTTTTTGTTTTGTTTTAATGCTTTCATGAATGTATCTTGCAGAACACTGCAAATATTGGTAAAAGGTCTTGTTACATTTGATGGAAGTATTATATAGAGGATGAAAGGAAACCAAGACCACAAAGTCAGCGAATTCCTGGGCAAATGCTAGTATGTCAGTCGTGAACTGCCACACTGAGGTAAACATACAGGTCTAGCTTGCTAATGTTTCCCTCAGACTGACATTTAAGAACTTTATTTTTGACTTTCCTTCCCTTTTTAGTGAAGGGGACAGGATCAAGTGTGTCTTCCTAGAGCATTTAATGTCCGTAAATCAAGAAGAACACAAGTTTACCATGTTTAATCTAGTATATGTATGGTCTAGAGGTATCCAAAGCACCTAATATTGCTTCTGTGTGCCCATAAAGCTCGCTTTGCTCAGGTTGCTCGCTGGCACTAAGCTGTTCCAGGACTGTGAAGGATGGGGAACTGCGAGCCTTGGCTGCTTGCCCGCCGCCCCTGAGAAAGCCTGGCCCAACAAATGTTCCGGCCGCGCTTCCAACAGAACCAGTGCCCATTTTGGTTTTTTACTACTTGGGAGTGCTTTCTCTTTATGTTGTCTCTAGAAGGGTAGTTAATCCTGCTCTGTTGAAATGAGTTTTTTTATACGGGCAAGGAAATGCTGAACGCAGCCCCTCGTCCCGGCTGTCCGGGGTGTCCCCACCTGCCCGGCTCACCTCGGGATGGGATTCGAGGTGAGAGGGGCGGTCAGCGCTGCCCGGCCCCGCCTTTGTTGGCAGGGGGGGCTCGGGGAGCTGGGGCAGAGCCCACCCCGGCACGGCCGTTCCCGCTGCCCGCGGCGGGGCTGAACTTTGCATCCCGGGACGCGGCCCGCAGACAGCGCGGCGCCGCGAGCTGTGTCTGGAGACAGGTCCCTCTGTGCGTTTATTTATTTATTTATCTGTTCCCTTCGCCCCGGCCGGGGCAGGTGCAGCCGCCGGGAGCTGTGGCGGGGCTCGAACCCGCAGCCCCAGATCCCTCACGGCGCCCCGCGCTCGCCACGAGGGGGAGGCGGCGGTGGCGCCCCCCGGTCCGGGCCGGCCCCGCCCTTCCGCCCCGCCCGCCCGCGCGCGGCACCGCGGATTGGGGGGTGCCGTGTGTACACACACGGGCTCGGGCCAATGGCGCGGGGGGGGCGCCTGACGTCACTGCGCGCGGCGGCCAATGGGCGCGGCGGGCCGGCAGACGCCGCCAAGCTTGTGCGGGGGAGCGGGAGCGGCCGCGGCGCGCGGGGCGGGGGGGCCGGGCCGGGCCGGGCCGGGCCGGGGGCGCTGAGGGCGCTGCGGGCGCTGCTCCCGCCCAGTCCGGGGCCGCCGGCGCGTCCCGGCTCCGCGGCCTCCTCACAGCGCCGGGGGCGCCGCGCCGGCCCGCCCCACAGGCGTCGGCGCGGGCGGATCGCTCCCCGCCGCCACCGCGGCTGCCGAGGGACCGCCGCCGTCTCGTCGCCTCAGCGCCCAGTCGGGGCCCGGCCCGCCCCGCCGCCCGCCTTCCCCTCCTTCCCGGGCCGGGCCTGCGGGTGAGCGGGGAGCGGGGGGCGGGTGTGGGGGCCGGGAGGGAGCGGGGGTAGCGCGTTCGTTCCGCGATCGGCGCTCCTGGAGCCGCGGCCATCGCGGTTTCGCCGCCCTCACCGGGCGGGCGCCCCTGAGGGCGGGAGCGGTGCCCGGCACCTGCGGGCGGGCCCGGGCGGCGGGGACAGCCGGGGCAGCTCCCCTGCACTGTGGGAGCGGCGGGCGGGCCGCGCCGGGGCCGGGCGGGCTCGGTGACACCCGCAGGACCGGGCCGGCCCCCGCCCTGCCCGGGGAGCCGGGAGCTGGGGTTTGGAGCTGGGGTTTGGAGCTGGGGCTGGGAGCTGGGCCGGGGCGGGCCTGACCCGCCACCCTGACCGGACAGGGCCGGCCCGGCACGACAACAACGAAACTTCCCCCGCTGCCTCTTCCTGGGAGTTACGGGCCTGCCCTGGCTCCCCGCTGGAAAGGGCTCCACGGCAGAGCTGAACCCGGAGTAAACACCGCCTGTTGGGACTGGGAATGCAAACAATAGGAGGAAAATATGGAATAAGCAAACTTCCTTGAAATGTGGGAGAAAAAGGCAGACGAGAGCGCGCTCCCTCCCTGAGTGAAGGGGCAAAGGCGAGCTGTGTGTCACAGCCCGTGCCGTGCTCTGGGGAAACGACTTTGGGGTTCATTTTCTCTGTAAATTGTTGATTTGACAGAGAAAATCAATGGTTTAAATTGATAGGATTTATCGTGCTGTGTAAAATTTTTTTTTGAATTACCACTCGGTCAGTTTTCGTAATTTGGAAATTAATCCAATGACTTTTTTGACTCTTCATTAATACTTTTAACAGCTGATTATTTTATTAACTGCTGTTACTGATATAACTTAATTGCCTGACAGAAAACAGCAGAACGCTGGAGGTTGTGTGACGCTGTATCACATTGCAACTTGATACCATCTTTGATTAAAAAATAATTTTATGCTGGTCAAAATGGATGCTGCTAAAAGAGAAACGAATAATTTTTTTTCTCAGTTTCTTTACCCTGCCCAAATTAACTTCGGTTAATTGATTTTATCCTGTCAAACACAAGAAAAGGTATTATGTGTATACATGGGGCGAAAGCCTGTGAGATGAACAATGTCACAGGAGGAACCCAGAACTCTATTTCACAGCCCATATTTGTGCCAGTACTGTGTGTACTCCAAGATGTTTTGTATTCAAAATAACGTGTAGGGTGCTAACTACAACACTGAAAAAGCTTGGAAGAGTAAGGAGAAGTTTGAGTTCTAGGAAAGAAAAGACTTGGCAGGAGAGACGGTCATAAGAGAGGGGAAAAAAGTTCTTCTTTGCAATGTTTCTTGTTGTGAGGTGAGTCTGGTGCCTTTGGAAGAGGAAACAGTAACAGGTCAAAGGATTTAGTTCTATACTAGGGAAAAAATGGAAAGCACTAAATGCTAACAAGATTGTCTCATGGGTGAATTTAAGAGTGATCTTATTTCACTGTCAGATTATTGGGCCTTCTTTTAACCACTTCCTTTGTACAAAAGTCACTAATGCAGCACAACAAAAAGAGACCATTTGACTTGTGCTACACTGATGTGGTTAATTTTACAGGGAACACCCCAGTGATGGGAATGCCCTTCACTGCTGCAGGAGGTTGTTCCTGGCAACCTCACTGTGCAGGTGATGAGGGGCAGTTTGCAGGGCAGGATTTTACCAGCAGCTGCTGCAGCCCAACCTGTGGGAATATTGAATCTTCTGCATCCTCATGTGGAGCAGAATGAGTTCCAGTTATAGCCAGCCTAATTCAGATCTTGGATTGCATTTCTTCTGAGGTGCTACCTTAAAATAGTGTTCTTAGGGCTGTCTGTATTGAGTGACAATTCCTTAAATTGTTTGCCTTTTCAGTATACTTTTGGGTGTGATGGTTAAGGCTTCCTCCTCTGCCTTTCTGATTACACTCACAGGACAGGACTGCTGATGAAGGAACAGTGAATCTTGAAACAGGGAAAATAAACAGTCTAGTCTGGTGCAAGGAAATACACTGGTGGATTTTTCTGTGTGCAAAGCCAAGAAGTCACTGGAATCACACAGGTTTATCCCAAAACTTTAGGTATTAGGTGAAAAACAAGCCCAGTGTCCTAGTGTGGTAACAGTACTCATACTGTATCAGAGCTGAAAGCATAAGTGCCTGTTGCATGACCTGAGAAACTTGGTATCTGCAAGGAAATACTGTAAAAAGGCAGCTATGTAGGGAGTGACAGTTTTATAACAACTTCCTGGATTGATTCTTGACGTGCTGTGGAACATCCAGCAGTAGAACAAAATGGATTCTGGTTTTCCCCTGTTATTTGGTTTGGGGGCTGCCCCTCTTTTGCCAAAGCTGAGGCAGTAATGTGATCTTACTCTCATAGTTTCATTAAAGGAACTTCCTTGCTCCTTTGTCTGATTTCCTGTGTGCAGTGATGGGTTCCATTAAAGGTCTTTACAGAGTGTTCAACTTTACCTCTATACCTTTTAATATTTATAGCATAAAGATCAATCTAAGCAAATCAAAGTGCAGGCCTACGATAGTTCAGCTGGCAAGACTACTGTGTATGTTGATATATACTAATATATTTGCATTAGTAGAACTGCAACAAAAGCACAGCCTCTTGGAACATCCTACTTCTAGTGAAATACAGAACAGGAATTAAATGAAAAGGGATGGTGTTTGGAAATAATTCCAGATCCAGCTATTCCCTTAGCACCACTGAAGAAACTCTCTGCCCTTCAGAACAGTTTGCAAAATCCGCAGCCTACTGAAGCCACTTCTGAAAATATTTGTCTTTACTGGAACCTGTAGAAACTTTTAGATTTTTTTCCCCACTAACTTGGTGATAAAATAATGCTTTATCCAACTCACATCTAGTGTTGGCTGTCACAGTGGACTCTGGAACTAAGCTGGGAAAAGATGAGTGGGTTTGTTAGTATACTTGTTTCAGTCAGTGAGGTGTGCCCTGACCATCAGGTTTTGCTCTAACAGCAGTAAGAGGATGCAGTGGTGGTAGTTGAGACTCTACTTCTATTCCCTCCCCAATCCCTGCTGGGTGACTGTAACACCGGGAGGGTTGCTTTGATAGGAACTCAGAATCCATTTCCCAGGGGTGGTGTCAGCAGATGTTTTCTGTGAGAGCAAGGGGCCATTTTCATTTACGGGTTTGTTATTGTGAATTTCAGCACAAGATGTAAGTGGATAAAAAATAACTAGGGTCATCTATTGAGAAAGAAATCAGCAGGTTGTGGTGGGTTCTTGCTGTCTTTAGGCTGTGAACTTTTAGTGAAGTTGTGTAGAGGAATTCTTCAACTCGGTAGCAGCTATTTAGTGGTATTTGTGGGAATTAAAATCTTAAAGCAAATGTATCAGTATTTGCTCACTGAGGCTTGTGAAAGCTGATGCCTCAATGCATTAAAAGTCACTTGAGAACCACAATGGTCATCCAAGTATTATGGTGGTGACATGACCAGTAATTGTGGATGAGATTAGAAACTGTGAGTGAAAGTGAGCTCATGTCCTCAGAGTGCCATAAAAACCTCCGTGTGCGTGGGCTCTCTATTCCTTGGGAGGAGAGAGCTTTCCTTTTCTTGTAAACTTGACCTTGAGACTTGAGAAACACCAGCAACGAATTTCTCTTCTCTTCCATGTGCAATCAAATTGTCATAACTCCAACTTACAACTCCAAATACGTTTAAACAGGTTTTTTTAAAATCAATATCTTCATACGTAGAGCTGATAATTGTGAGGGTTGGTCCTGCCCACTGCCCAGGCCTGGGTGGCCCCTGGAGCTGTCAGTGGGTCACAGCCCACGGGGAACTTGCCTCTGCAGCCTCTCAAGGCCCCACTGGTGCAGTTCTGGCAGTGAGGACTGAACTGCTCCCGGGGAGCTCAGGTGGGAATGGCAGTTGTTGACACCCTGTCCCTGGGGAAGGAAGAAGTGGGTGAAGGTGGAAGATCCCTTTCAGCAATTTTAGCAGGGATGGATCTCAGTGCAGTGCAAGGTGGAATTGTGCCCTGCAGGTGACTTTGTGTGCTGGAATCAGTGCTTGGGAGCTTGTGCATCACTGGAAAAATCCCTTTTGGTCTTTGTACTGAATTATAACTACACAAGTATGAAATTCTTTGTAACCTTTACCCTTCAGTGAATACTGTCATCATCTTCAATCTGAGCAAGAGCAAAGTTAACAATGGCTTTAAACTAGAGCAAAGTAGAAAGAAAATGTAAGAAATAGCTACTAAGCCTCTTCGTTGTCAAGTTTTTTATCCCTGTATAACTTGGTGATCTTTAATTAAATGCAAATGTAAAATTGTTTTCAGTTCATTGGCTGTTAAGATCCTTCTAGCTGAGGGATGTAGACAAAAGTCAATCTCAGCAGGGTGGTGCAGCTGTTCCATGTATTTGGCAGTGTACTGGTAACTCTAGAAATGTTACAATCTCAAAGCTCATTACCAGGCCAGGTTAAAATCTAGAGCATTCCCTGATGTATCACACAGTGTGTGAGCTGGTGGTAGCAAGAAGCTTGTGGGAAGTCTCAGTAGTCAAAAAGATGCTGTTTTAAGCTCAGCTTAACAAAGACAAGCCAGTGTATTGTTGGCAATGCACAAGGACCATTTTACCCAGCTATTTCACAGTCATTCATACAAATCACTACATTTTTTTCAAGTGTCAATCCATTGCAAAAATTAAATTTCTTAAGGCGAAAATGTGTTTGTGCTCTCTGCTCTGAAAGGAAGTTGTACCTGGCTCTCTCCACGGAAGCAGTGGAGTCCTAAGTGTTGTGCCCTGTGCAGTAGTCAGCTATGGACCAGAAACCCAGTGAGAGAACAGAAGATGAGCTTGTAGATTGGTACTTAAAAAAACCCTGCAGCTGCATTTCTGTTAATTCCAAATGTATCTGTGCTGATAAAAGCTGTATATGAAACCCATAAAGATATTTTAGATCAGCTTGTTTGAAGTTTTGCATGAATGTTACCCACTTTTCTGGTATCAAACCCAAGCTGGTTTGGGGAGTTAAAAGAGCCCTCAAAGGTTCAGGTGGTTGGGAATTGTTGCACGTGTTTAATGTAAGGTTCCCTTTATTTGGGCAATGGGGGACATGCTTCACCTCACTGGTTTTGAAATCAGCCCTGAGTGCTGCTCCTATTCTTGGACACAAAGTTTACTGTAGTACTGGCGTGACCCTGAGCCTGTGTGAGAACGTGCCCGAGAAATGGAGTCGCTTGAGGGCAGGAGTGTCCAGTTCTGGGTCGATGGGATTGGGCACTCAGCACTGTCAGGGCTGGGCAGGCAGCAGAACGTGAGGCTCAGCTGTGCAGCTCAGTGCATGGGCACTCTGGGCACTTTCAGCTAAGGGAGGGTTTGAATCCAGCTCTGGATTTCATCCCCGTGCCGTGTGTGCTTGTCACTGGTACATCCACTCAGAGCTGCCTTTCTCCCTGGCGTTCAGGATACTCAGGACCCTCCCTCAGTGGTGTCGAGAGAGTCACGTGGATATGTGCCACATGTGTAGTCATGTGATGTGTTCATCTGCGTGTATGTGTAGGTTGCTGGTCGCAGCAGTCCAGCAGTGACAGTACATACAGAGCTGGTGTGAGGAGCGGGACTGTGGCATTTGGGATCAGTCCGAGAGTACTGACTGGGATCCAGTTCATTTGGTGCCTCAGGATGGGCTGGGGGAGGTCCCTAAAGGGGCATTTCCCCTGCTGTGCTTTGTGCAAACCACTCTGGGTGGTGGCTGCTCATTATACCCCTGCAGTGCTGAAGTTTATACTCACTGAACTCGTGTGTAGGCCTTGGCTGGGTTTCCAGGTTCTTGGTGCTGTGTAAACTTGACTCATCATTACTGCTCTTGTCAGGTGCCAGTCGTTTTCTTCTGATGACACACTGGCATTTTGCTCAGTCTCAGCTACAGGATGGGATCTTCACTTCCAGATTGGGTTCAGGTGGTTCTCTCCATTTGCACCTTGGTTTACAGCAGCCATTCTCGTTTCAGTTTTGTGTCTCATAGCAGGGAAAACTTTGGATTCATAGACTGCAGCCTTTAAATCAAAAAAAAAGTGATTAAACTAAGCTTTTCAGCTCACTACTCTTCTCACATTATTTTGTTCAAAGCTTCTGATATCATTTAGTGGTGAAGTCCCTTGGTTTCCCTTTGCTGGGTCTCTCCAATCACCTTGTCTGTTATCTGCTGGGACTTTTTTGAAGGCACAGCAGTTGCTCGCAGTGAAAACTGGAAAAAGGAAGTTGCACCTGCAATTCCTTCATCATACACAGCACGGTGGGAGTTCCTTTCAAATGCTTCCTAAGAGCTACTTTCTAACATTGTTTTCCAAATACCAGTTACTGTGTGATAGCTGAAGGTGGGGACTTATTTCCCACTCTGGGGATGTGACTTGTTGAACTCGCTCCTTTCTGAAGTGCTCCATGAAGTGACAAGCTGGATGTTTTATGGGGCATAAGAGGACTCAGAAAGAAAGTTGACAGATCACTGGAATTTTCTTACAGGGATGCAAAATCTGTAATTTAAATTCCAGAGATTTGCTACCAAAGTTGCAGTTCTGCTGTGTGGGATGCCAAGAAGTGAGTCTGACTTGTACACACAGATATTTTCACTAAAATTGGTCTTTTTTTAATCTCAATTTCTTCAAAAAGGAGGCAGATATTGAATTTTTTTTTTTAGGAACAAGACAGGGAAACGCTTCCTGGGAGCAGGTGGAGTTCTGCTAAGTACTTCATCATTTTGAAATTTTACTGGTCAGAAAACTGAGCGCCAGTGAAGCAGCATATGTGTAACAGGTGGTCTAAGCCCTGGAGATGCTGTGCATAAATTAGTGGTTTAACACTGAGCCTGTACTGATTAGTAAGGAATCTTTTTGTTACCGGTGTCTCCTGAAATCAGCCTTGAAAGTCAGTATTATGGAGAGGGCTGTGAAGAATATCAGTTAATTTCTAGTGGAAAGGCTCGTGTTGTGCAGGTTTCTTTTTCTTGAAACGGATCACACTTTGCTCTTAGCTGACCCAGCTCCTTGGAATAATTTTCATTTTGCACTATTCTTGAGTAAGTAAATGAAAAAAGTGCTCCTTGATGATAAAAAATCATTCTAGTATATTAAAATATCTCCTTTTTTAATGTGTTCCATAAAGAATTAATGTCACAACAATTTGAGTGATTATCCAATAGTTGTCTTCGTTTAAAGATGTTTAGTACTAATGTGATATTTCCATAAAAATGACACTCGATGTGGTGAACTGGCCTGTGGCACTGAGGAGGATCTGTGTGGTGCTGGGCTGTGTGAAGCTCTGATTTTGAAGTACTGCTGATTTGAGAAGGGGAAGCAGGATGAGTGTGGTAAATGTTAATTTTCGAGGACAGTGTTATGTCCCATAACTTTGTTCTTTTCTGCTCTTGGGTTTTACCCACTGCATGCATCTCACAGGGACAACTGAACAGCAAGGCTTTGGACCATAGAACACAAACATAAGAAGGAGTGTAATGTCGTTCTGCAGGTGACTGTTTTCTGGTTTGATTTGTGTCTTGCACTGGGATTCAGCTTCAGGATCACAGAAACTTTACAGCAGATCTGGCTTTTAACTTGTGAGGAGAACAGGTACAAATAAACAAACAGTTCTGTTGCAGTTAGAGCTTGATTATCTGGGCTTTTGTAAATTTAATGCTCAGACTGGCTTTTTAGAGTCATTGGCACAAGGGATCAGGAAGCAGATGTTCCAGCAAAGCCACGAGTCAAAGTTTACAAAGTCAGACAGTTTGGTTGGCTCCCTGTACCGTGCAATATGTGCCCAACAGGCAGAACTGTGGGAGCAGACCAGAAACCAAGGCTTAGACTGTGGCAGGCAATCTTAGTTCAGATAAAGCAATCTGCATGTCTCTGGCTCTGAACCTGTCATTTATGCAGCTCCACCTCAGGAGGAACCAGCTAAAGAACAAAAAGGTGGAGGTTTATGTTTGTCTGTCTGTGTGGTGCAAGCACGAGCAGCGATTGGGGATGAAGGGAATCTCCATTTTGGGGCCATCTGTGGCGGTTCTTTTGTCTGAACCTGACAAGAGGTCATGGCAGATGGTGGGGTCACAAAGTCTGGCTTCCCGAGCCTGACAAAATGTGTTCATGAAGCTGGAAGAACACCAACTGTTCCTACTGGCTGGAGAGCATTGTGGAGGAGGATTGTGATGGTTTATGGACAATACCTTCTGGATCACTGAGCTTGACAGCAAAGGACTTGTTAAAGATGAACCTGGTTTGCGTAGCTGTAAATGGATTAAAAGCACTCAGCAAATGTGTCCTTAACTATGGTTGGTTTGAGTAAATTGCTTGTAAAGCCTCTCAGAGAAAGAGAGGTCAAACTGCATCATGAATTGGGCCAGAGTTCCAGATGATGTGTTTGGAGAGTTGGTGTGGAAGGATGAGAAAGGGGGGGAAAGAACAAGCACGAAGATGATACTTTTCAGATGCAATGCAGAAATTCAGCTTTTGCTCTTTGCCATGACCTCTGGAGCCTTGGGGCTCTTCTGGGACTCTCCTTCAGGTGTCAGGATTGCCACACAGATGCAGTGGCCCCTTTCCCCAGGCTGTAAATAGATATCTCTCACTAGCACATTCTCGGAACTCAGAGAAAAATTATTCTTGTCTTCTTGGATGTTTTGTCATTGAAGTAAAACATACAAATTTTGACATTAGAATATCTTAGTCGAGTGGTGTGGTGTTCACGTGCTGGAGCAGCTGCCTAATCCTGGCTGCAGTAAGTTCCTGGCACTTCCCTCCAAGGGAAGGGAAGGCACTGTCGGTTCTCCAGTCTCTGATTCCACTCGGGTTTTGTATGGTGAGTTCTGCTGTGAATGGTTGTGACTCATATTTGGTAACTAGTTTAGGTGTCTTCCTAATTTTACTGAGTTGATTCCACACTTGAAGGTGTGAACGGTTCTCCCTCCCTTACACATCCAAGTGCAATTCAGATGTCTTTTTTAGTTCATTTTTAACTGCAAGTAGTACTTATAAAGTACTTTCAAATTCTGTCTTTAAAACGGTTTGTGCTGCCAGCATTGATTTGGAACTTTTCTTCTGTCTTCTGTAAGACTTCTGGAAGATTTAATTTTAAAAAGAAGTCACTTTTATGTATTTTTCGGTATACCACAATTTTTATCTTCTCCTGGAATTCCAATACTATAATTCTAATTGCACAGATTTAATAAAATATTTAAAAGATGAGTTTGAACAGCAATGGTTTTTCTTGCCTGTTTCCTGAAAATACTGTTTGTTTTCTGTGTACATACATTTCATTAAAAGCTTTCTCTGTTGCTGGTGGCTAAAGACACAATGGAGAGAAGTAATTCACTTCCCTCTTATGAGGACACTCTGCATTGCATGGTTTTAATCAGAAAACTTCAGTAATGGCATGATGTGCTTTGCTAGCACACTAATGTGATTGGGATTCCGTCTCTGCCTGTCCCAAGCAGTGAACATTTCTGGTGTCTGGGAAGAGCCTGGCTATTGTGGTGATCGATTTTATCCAAGAGCAGGGCTTCAGCTAAGATATTTCATTAACTCTCTTGCAGGGTGTTCATTTTAAGGAACCTGTGAAGATGAAAAGGGGTATCATATGGTTTTCCGAAGGATAAAGCGATCCTGTCTGACATGACGGCTAAAAATGTAAGTACAGGTGTTGCCACACGTATCCCTGGAGTGTTGGGTGATAGAGTGGCACAGGTTGGAAGGGATGTTGCCAAAGAGCTCTCCACGAAGCGGCACAGCAGATGCCTCCTGCCATCCTGAAGAGCTTTCCTTGCACCCAAGCCCCCGGAGGAAAAGATACCCGGGTGCTTCAGTTTTCCCCGTGGATCTCTACTCCCAGATCGTCATAGGAGAGGTTTTGCTTCTGTTTTCATGCCCTCTTTCCCTTGCCCTGCTCCCACCTCGGCGTTCCCTCCCCAGCCCCGCTGCTGCTGCACCGCTGCCACCTGCTGGGAGACAGCCCTGGGAATGGGCAGGGAAAACGGGACACACTCTCTTTGGAAACAGCTCCTGCTGGTACCACTGCCTGCAACAACAGCCAGAGCACTCTCTGCCCTGGGAAACTGGGATCAGAGTCTGCAGGGTGTGCCAGGAAAGGGCAACATCTGAGATAACCTGAGGGGCTGCACTGTTTACAGAAGCACCTCATTAGCACATTTTAGCAGTATTTACAGTCAGAGTAGTGCAGTGGGTTAACTGCAGTGAACAGCAGTTAACATCATTTTCTGTGTGTCCCCTGATGGTGAAAACATCTCCATAGAAGCAGTTTCACACAATGCCCTGTGCAGTTTTTCCCCTATGGAAATTATTTGCCCAATACAAGTTCTTTAGTGGAACCAAGAGACTGAAGGCTTACAGTAGGTACTTTTTATTCTTGTGTAGTTTATTTTAATTACTGTTTAATTTGTCTAAAATTAAACGTTGTTCTAATCTGAGGTTATTCCAATGCTGCAAGAGGCCTTAGCATGGGTTCTGTTATTGCTGCATAATCTGTAAAATAAAGCAGATATTTGATCCTTGGTCCTGTAATACAGGTTCTGGCCATCAGGGAGGTTTGTGCTGTGTTAGTGGTGGCAGCTGCTCCCTCTGATTTGGAGGGGACAGTGATTTATTTACACCATGGCAGGCAGAAGGGGCTGCCTGGGTCGTGTGTAGTGCAGCATCAGAATATTCAGGGGATTTTTGAGGTGAGAACTTCACATGCACAGCATAAATGTCTTGAATTCTTTGCCTTGAATCTCATGCTCTTGTTAGACTCTGCTGTCCACAGAATGATGATGGTTCATAATGCAAAAACAGATTACTTCCATAATATTGTTGGTTGCATATTAGAAAACAAAGAAAGGTTTATCGTATTTTAAGACTTCAAAAATGTTTTGTTCAGGTTGGTGTGACTTCCACAAATGGAGACTTGAAAGGATTTATAGATCAGAACCAGAGTCCAACAAAAGGTAAGAGAGTTCTATTTGTATACATAGAAAAGAAGCAAACATTAAGACTTATTTCACTGTGTGTGGTTGAGTCACGTTTGGGAGTGTCAGAATTCCAATGGTGATGCTTTATTGCTGACATGTTGGTGTGCAGGAAGGTGTGCTGAGACACCAGCTCAGCTGTGGCTCATTCTGTACTCACAGGTAGCTGCAGTCTGTGGCATCAGCACCACAAGATGAGAGTTATGTTAGGGACATTTTCTGCCTTTGTGTCACTAAAAATACATAGTTAAAATAGCTAATTACTTGGCCCTTGCACTCCAAAATTGCCTCCTCTGCTTTTCTTCTGTTCACAGGCTTAGGTTTCACGGTCTCTTTTTCTTCCCAGGTTTCCCCTGGAGCACCTGAAGCAGTTACTCTTTGTGCTGTTACAGTGTCAGTTTGATCAGGCTGTGGAGGGAAAAGGGAGTCCAGCCATAGAGCACTGCTCTAGCACCAGGCTCCGGGAGGGAGGAGATGTTAATCATAACTTGCAGAGATTGCTTTGGCTGGGAGCCCTCACTTTTAATGCAAGTCCACAGTGAACTTTGTTTCAATCCATCTTTTTCTTAGGCAGCACCTGTTTGTTATGAAGTCCTGACTGGGGTTTAGTGCACAGGGTGCTCTAATGGAATAACCTTGTTGATGGTGTCAGTGCTTGAAGAGACCTGCTAAAATGACCCAGACATCAGAACTGGTTATCCATCGGTGTGTGCCTGGTACTTTGGGATTCATACAGCTGTTAATTCCAGCAAATTTGTCTCAAATTGAGCAGTAAAAGACTGAAAATGTTCTGGTCAGTGTAAGCCTGAAGTACACCGAAATATCTGCCCCATTTTGCTTTTCCTTTTCTGCAGATCTCTTTGATGTCAGGTGTTTCTAGATATAGATGTGCTTCTACAGACTATGGAATTTTTAAAAGTTAGTTTTGCAGCCCAGTAATTTTATACAATAAATAAACAAATAAATTGTCCCAAGAAAATACTTGTAATTGATAGCATGGTAATAATAATTCAGAATTATCTATATGCTGTTACAATACTGCATCCTGATCTTGGGAGATCAGTTTATATTTCAGTGTAACAAAGGATCCTGAGGACACATCACATATGTTATTGCAAAATACCCTGATGGACTGCTGATATTTCCCAACTCTGACCTGGCTTTTTTTGCCACAGGCTGTGTTAATTTAATTTAATTTAAATGGCTGTTCATGGAAACTCTTTAAAAACGTGCACACTCCGAATATAAAATCCAGATTGCCAGCACTTCCCTGGTGTTTTGTTTGGAAAGTGAAAGGCTGTTTTTGTTGGTGTGGGCATTGTGTGGAACCCCAGCTGGTGGGGCTGTGCTCCTCATCAGCCGTGGTCTCCTTCAGACTGGCTCTGACAGGTGCTATAGATCCTCCAGCTGACATTGTTCCTGATTATCTCTGCAACTGAGCTGCAGACCTAACAAATGTAGTCCTACAGGAAGAAAAACCACGACAATCTCCTTAGCTTCCTATATTTGTACAGGAGTGCCTGTTGTTTGGCTGAAGTTGAGCTATTGACGGGGCCTAAAAGATTTAGAGTGTCTTGTGGGATGGTTACTGTGTGCATGTGAGGGTGCGTGAGCATGAATAACTTTATCTGTGACTGCTTGAAGCTGAAGATCATTTAAATTGAATTTTTCTTTGTGCATGCAAGTAAAAATACTGCCCAAATGCCAGGAGGAATGTTATGTAGTGACGACGGTTTTTTAAAATATGAAATTATAGCAACACTGGTTTCTCTCCGTGAGAAACAACAATAGTGGTGGCTGAGGGATGGGAAAATAATTCACTCAGAAGCAAAGTGCTTTTGTTCCTAGAGAAACACGCACATGTGCCCTGGCAGATTTCTGTGTTGGGTTTGCCTCGGTGAGAGCAGGCTCGGTTTGGGGTGGCTTTATGTGGATTGCAGCTGAGGCTTCACCATCAGAGCTGTAAGCCCGTTCCTTTCCCATGTGCTTGGTAATCCATCGGTAAATGGGAATAATGGCACTGCCCTCCTTTGTGCCTTGAAAGTGCTGCTGAGGAACATTACATAAGAACTGAGTATTCTTACACAAATCATTCTGGTTTGATCCATCTGGGCTGAGCTTTCTCTCCACGCAGGGCAGGGCAGGGCAGGGCAGGGCGATTCCCGCGACTGGAGGCTGATGGCTCTCATTGTACTCAGCTCATCACTGTACCCACTGCTGCTGTGCCTGGGACACGAATCACTGCAATCTGCTCTGTCCCCAAAGGATGGGTGTTGTTAAGGCTTGGCATTTATTTAGAATTTGAACGCGTTTAAAGCCTTTACAGTTGCTTTGTGGTATAATATATATATATATATATAGTTGCTTTGATGGTATTTCTGCTCTCGGTTGAATACAGAAATCTTGTGAATGTTTTGTGGCATCTACTTCCTCCTGCTTTTTCTGTGCTGTTTTGTGAATAACACTTGAGGAGATTGCTCTTGTTGGTGTTTGCTGTTCTGTAATGCTACTTTGCCTTCAGAACTTTAGAGATGACCGACTCCTCAGCAAACACAGGTGCCCTAATCTCCAGAACCTGGTGTAAAATACAGCATCTCAGCAAGCAAGTGCCTGTTCCACCAATAATGTTTGTTAAATATTTGTGGCATTTCATGTTACTTGAGCATCTGGACCGTAATGCTGTGTTTGAGAAACAGAAAACAACAGGGAGGGAATATTTTATTTATAAGTGATAAAGCTTTGCTTACTTATTTTTCAACTGCTGACAAACACACAGAACAACCTTTGTAAAATTGTGGTAAAATTGTAACATTTGGTTGTTCCTTCTTTCTGCCCACCGTGGATGAGAGAGATCCCACTCATTAAAAGAAACTGGTCCCTTTCTATCCTGTGTGCATTTAAATATCTACACATTCACATATTTATATTTACCCATGAAGAAATTTAAAAGGAAGAACAAAGGCAGGGAAACATTTCTTCGAACACTTGATCAGCTCTTAATATGGTTTGGACAGCGCTGATGCCAAATGGGGGATTTGTGTAGGGATTAAAAGATGAAAACCTTCTTCTATTGACAGCAACTCCAGCCAAAAAGACATTTAAACACAGCCCATGTGTAAGCTGCTGTCTTTTTGAAATCAAGATCAAGCAATCTGAATAACCCTGTATTTCCTGAAGTTGCCCTAACGGTGACCACGTACATTTACCTGGGGAGCCCTGTAAATGAAGGCACAGTGGCTGCTGATTGTGCTGCTGTGCTGAGTGCACAGCCAGGCTGACACATCTCACTCCTGTTCTGTGAAACTCCACATTGCAGGCCAGGAGGTGTTGATGGGGACAGCTCTGTGGGGGAGCCCTGGGGTAGAGCTGGAAGCCAACCCTGACATTTCAGAATTTACTGCACTTTGCCTTGTGCCCTTGTGCTGTCAGCACCGCAGAAAGTCATTCCTTTCTTTTCCCTGGTAAGAAGAGGGACAAGGAGAAATAATATGAGAGCTGATCTTGGAGATAACGGGGTCAAAAGTTTCAGCTGCAGCAGAAAAGAGGAAAATTCCTCCAGCAGTAGTGGGAGGTGACACGTCATGGATGGCAAGAGCCTGCAGGGAGGGGGGAGGCTGGATTCTGAGGAGAATAGGCTGGCACAACTTGGGAAATCCCGGGCACAATCCTGGAGCAAAACTAAAACTGACAAGTAGGAGAACTATTCTGGGCTCAGAATGGGAACACAGTGGATGTAAATCATGAATTGCTGTTTCGTGCACTCTGTGCTGCCTCACAAAAGATGTTTCATAACAGATTTCCTGGGGGGGTGAGGTGGGGGGGGCATTGTAAGTTTGTTTTTCTAGGTGAGTGAGGTGACTGAATCATTTATTCATTCTATTAAATAGAGAAGCAAGCAGTTTCTGAACATGTTTTCAGATACAGATCTGCCTTTTGGAAAATTAGGCAGTAGTGATACTCCAGGTGCCAGAGGAATTTACAGAGAATAAGAAAACCTCCTTGTCTCAAGCTGTATGTATTTCTCATATCTCTGATTTTTTTTTTTTTTTTATAAAGGAGAGACTTTGCATATGTCTACATCTTTCCTACTTCTGTGCTGTGACTACAGAAGATAAAATCCTTTTTTAAGTACTCCTTTTTATCAGTTGTGTTGCTCCTGCTTGGTATTGCAGAGAAATCCCATTACTGAATGTATGCAGAAGACTCTGGTGCAGGCAGATGAGGAATGGTGAAGGCCAGGAAGGTTTATGGATGCATGTTTTCTGCACGTGCTTATGATTATAAATAGGATTTGTGTGCTGGCGTCTTGCTGAAGTATTCTCGTTAATTTTCACTTCTGATGCTGAGGTATGGCAGGCCGTGTGCTCTTCATCTTAGGCGAGAATAAATAAATTGCTTCTGAAAATAAAATACGTGTAATTTTAAGGGTCAAACAGCAAAGGTGTAGTTTGGTGAGGTGTCCTTGTGACATCTGCTGAAAGGTCTGGGGTCTGTTTTGTGATGGTGTGTTTGCAGTGAATGAGACAGGAAAGCTAATCTGGTTCCAGAAGGTTGGTGTGAGAATTTGCTGAAGTGTTTTTCCCAGGTCACCAAGGCAGTGATTTAAACCTCTCTTTTTTCCCCTCTCTGTAGGTAATATCTCAGTCATTACACTGCCAGTTTCCAGCACCAACTCTCCCAGTAAGATTTTGCCCAAAACCTTAGGACCGATCAACGTGAATGTTGGACCCCAGATGGTAAGTGTTGCAACCCCGGTGATGCCAACTGGTGTAAGTGCCTGTGTGACTTCCTGCTGGTGTAACAGCAATAAAAACCCAAACCATTAGGAATGTTATTGCTCCTCTCTGAATGTTTTTAGTCACGTTCTCAGCAGTAAATCTCCCTCCAGCATTGTCAGAGAGTGCCTTGCATGTGCCACTAGAGATTTAACTGGTTGAAACTACTCTTCCTGTCATTTTCTTATTAAATAGCCACTGCAGCAGTGTCGATGCTGGTTGCCAGGGGCCGCCAGGTGGCACTGCAGTGTGTGTATATATATATATATATATATTTATATATATATCTGCTGTATACTTACAAGGGGGTTGGATAACTTAAATAGTAAAGGAAACTACAATGTTTAGCACAGCCAGTACTCAAAATGTCGCTTAACAAATGGAGTAAAGTACAATAAAGTTTTAAAAAATGAAATAAGGTATCCGAGGAAAAAAACGCTGTCCAAGAAACCTTGGTATGAATCTTATCGTACTGGAATCCAAGTAATTAAATGTGTTTTATTTTAAAGATTCAGTAATTAATGCTGTTTGATTTTAAATACTATCTCAGTTCTTCTGGTGACCTACTTTTAAGAGTGAACTTGGGTGTGATTTAAAAGTTGAGAGCAGGTGTCTTGTTGTTAACCGCTGTACCTACAGTTTTCCCAGGTTTGTGTAAATGGGAATTCTGTCCACCCTTCAGACTTTACACTGAATTCCACAGGCACAGTGCTGTATTATCAGCTTGCCAGAATGCCCTGGGACCTTGTGAGTGCTGGAAACTGCAGGGAACACTTTGCCTGGAGCTCAGTTTGTCTTTGGTACCAAAGACAAGAGACAAATCCATTGGAAAGAAAGAAGGTTTTATTGATTGCAGGGATCAAGACATTGCCTGGATGTACTGGTGGAGAAAAAATTGGGTGTCCTATCTGCCATACCTAGGAATTGCTTCTCTTTGGCTAGTTCTGTGTGAATAATGCAGTAACATGGTACAGTTAGAAACTTAACAGTGTTGTAATTGCTTCACTGTGTGAAGATCTTCTGATGACATCTCTTCTCTATGTTTTGACTGCAGCTTGCTTCTGGTACAGAATTATCACTACGTTTCTTAGTGCAGTGCTGATGAATTTTAGGCTGTGGTAACCTCTGTTTTCCTAAAACAGCTGTGTTTTTTTATTCCTGAATTTGACAGATCATAAGCACCCCCCAAAGACTGACCAATTCAGGGAGTGTTCTGCTCGGGAGTCCCTATAACCCAGCTCCAACAATGGTCACCCAGACACACATCACAGAAGCTTCTGGCTGGCTCCCAGGGTAAGGCTTTTGCCTTGTTTAAAGATGCCTGAGGGTCTGTTCTGGTCTCTTCTGTTATTTATACTATCATCTCCCTACAGGGGGAGAGACTGTCAAAATCACTTCAAGAGGCAATTCAGAAAAAACTGTAATGGAAAATTTTGAATTTTATCAGTGTGGTATTTCTATTACTGTTTTAGATTAGCAACAAGTTATATAGGGTTCTGAGGTACCCCAGAGTAACATGAAGTTCTTTATCTCTTCTAATTAAATCTGGTCTTTACAGTATTTCTTGGTATTTTGTTTTAATACCAGTACTGCTGAGCTCAGCTGTATCAAAATAGAGATGGAGAACTTTGCCTCTGAAAAAATAGTTTATTTCTGCATCTAGGTTAATTTTTCTAATCAGTGATGAAGGTCAGTAGTACCTTGCCAGCTTTAGACATGAGAAATGGAGCATCTAAGAAACAACTGCTCTGTAAGCAAGGACTGTCATATTCCTGTGCTTCCCAATCTAGCTCATGTCAGCACTGTTGCAGCTCCAGGTGGAGTGACTTACCTCGATTTATGTGGGCAAAGCATGGTAAAATTGGGAATAGCACTCGTCTGGCAGTGAGCTCCAGCAACCTCCTCCAAAAGCCCTGACCCCCTTCTCTCAGATTTTGTCAATCTCTGTGTCAGATTTTTCACTTTTAGGAAACATGGAACAGCAAACACCAGACCCAGCCAGGCCCTGCACAGTGATTTTAGTGGCCTGTAGATATAATGTTATTTTCACCTAAAGTTTGAATTGTCTTTTCTTAGGGAGCGAAAACGGACTCAAGAAATTATAGAGTCAGACTTTTCCGAGAGGTGAGTTGAAGCCGAATTTTTGCCCCAAAAAGCACAGAGAGACTGCTTTAGAGACGAAGATTTGTTTCCCTAAAGCAGGAGGTATTTTAATGCAACGCGTTGGAGAGTCCCCAGGTCGCCCTGGACAAAGAACTCTGTCGTGTACAATCAGCATAGCTCTTGTATACAGTTTTGAGCATAAAATTACATCATAAACATGCATATTCATTAAATTGCAACATCTACTTGTAATATTCCTATATAGGCGGGGTCTTCAATTTGGGGAGGTTTAGAGGTGGGAGTTCCTGCAGCCTTCATCAAGGGTCGTTTGTTGGTCTTCCTCGTTGTAAACTTTTGAACTTTCCTCAAATCTTTCCCTAATTTGGATAGTTGGCAAGTGTGGTAGGGTCAGGTTGACTTTTGGCTCGTCCTAAGATTTGCTGATGTTGCTATCTCTTTGTTTTATGCTTTAAATGTTCTATCTTGTCAACATGTTCTGTTCCTCAGACAATTTATTACTTCTTCTGTGGTTTCCTAATGCTAGGGTTTTGAAACTACTTCCACAATTTTGTGTTTGAGTTCACCTTTTGTTTCTCAAAGACTGCCTCAATTGAGTGGCCTCATTTCCCCCCTTTTCTTATAACTTACAAATTCCTTCGTCAAGTTGTAATTCCAGGGGGTGTTGGTACGACTGTACCATTGCCTAAATCATTTGGGTCTTTGTCACTAAGGATTTCAGTTTTTGCCATAGGTATATGTTTGTGAGAGTTAGTAAGAGCATAGCTATGGTTATAATTAGTATTGGGTGCACCAGGTAATGGAATGTACTGATTACCTATTTGGTCTACAGCATCTCCATTTACAATTTGCATAGCATAAGGTCTCCCATACAGGATTTCAAACGGACTCGATTTTTCCTTTGATCGGGGTTTGACTCTCAGTCTAAGTAGAGCAATAGACAAAGCTTGATACCACTGTAAATTAGTTTCTTGGTATATCTTAGCAATTTACAAGCAATAAACAGAACTTTTTTCTTTATACCTTTAAATTTCAAACAACATGTTAGCAAGAAATTCTTCGCATTCCAAAAACCCTTTCTCAAGAGTAATTGTTGGAAACGTTTCTGGACTTTGGTTGGAAACGTTCCCAAACCTTAAAAACAATCCTAGATTAGTTAGAAAATGTCTTTAGCCAGAAAACTCTCCGCTTTTCTTTTAACTCTTAAAGCACGACTTTAAACATGTTATGGGCACACAAAACAAAACCAGTCACATAAGATACAGTCTCAGTAGAATTTTAACCTGCCTTCTTCTATACCTGGGCCTCTAACCCAGCTTTGGTGGGACTCTAACCCGCTCTCCTCTATACCTGGGCCTTTAACCCAACAGGGATTAATACCAGGGTGTCCCCTTGGCTTTCCCCGGGCGGTGAGGTCTCACCCCCGTCTTTTAACAGAGCGCTCTCAGTTTTAAAAACATATCAAATAAAATACCTCTTAATTTGAAGCAGGAGATCTTGTCCACCGTTGCGTGTAGGTCCGAGGGGTCTGGGAGTCTCTTTACCGACAAAAGATCCATCGGGAGGGCCCAGAGAGTCCCAGGCCGCAGCCCCGGGAGAGAGAGAGGATGTCCTGCCGCGGTCGCCAATTGAAGCCGAATTTTTGCCCCAAAAAGCACAGAGAGACTGCTTTAGAGACGAAGATTTGTTTCCCTAAAGCAGGAGGTATTTTAATGCAATGCGTTGGAGAGTCCCCAGGTCGCCCTGGACAAAGAACTCTGTCGTGTACAATCAGCATAGCTCTTGTATACAGTTTTGAGCATAAAATTACATCATTAACATGCATATTCATTAAATTGCGACATCTACTTGTAATATTCCTATATAGGCGGGGTCTTCAATTTGGGGAGTTTTAGAGGTGAGAGTTCCTGCAGCCTTCATCATGGGCAGTGGTCATTTGTTGGTCTTCCTCGTTGTAAACTTTTGAACTTTCCTCAGATCTTTCCCTAATTTGGATAGTTGGCAAGTGTGGTAGGGTCAGGTTGACTTTTGGCTCGTCCTAAGATTTGCTGATGTTGCTATCTCTTTGTTTTATGCTTTAAATGTTCTATCTTGTCAACATGCTCTGTTCCTCAGACAATTTATTACTTCTTCTGTGGTTTCCTAATGCTAGGGTTTTGAAACTACTTCCACAATTTTGTGTTTGAGGCAACCTCTTGTTTCTCAAAGACTGCCTCAATTGAGTGGCTTCAGAGTGTTGCTGAACATGGATTTTATGTGTAGAGTTATACCTGTTTTATTCAGGTCTGCCCTTCAGAGTGTCCAGTTCCCTCTTTCAGTTTTCCCTCCTTCACATAAAAGCTGTGTGGATGTTATTCCTTGTAGTTAAAATTCATTCCTTTTAGCTTTAGCACTTCCTGATAAAGACATTTACAGGTGATACCAGGAGTTGTGAAAAACAAACAGGTTTTCAGAAACAAGGTTGTTTTGATTTTCCGTGTGACAAATACTTGCAAACAAATGATCTTTGCTTCTGAAACTTTTTTTTGGAAAGCATTCAAGGTGGTTTTATTTGTTTACCTGTTGAGGTTGATTGAATTGAATATCTGTTTAGGGATTGGAAGTGTTGGGGTTTTTATAAACCTTTTTTTCTTCTGTGTTCTGTTTTCTTAAATACATTCTAAATTTTGGAAGCCATTCTTTTATGTTAATATTTTAATATTTCCCTTAGCTTGTTACTGCTAACAGAACTAGGCCTTTTTCTGTAAAATAACAGACATTTTATCAAATGATCTTGTCAACCTGTAATTTAAAAAAAAACAAACAAAAAACCAAAACCAACAGAGCTGAGCTTTTTAAAGGCTTGTGTTGTAATACACATCCAAATCCAGTCTGTGTGAGAAAACCACCTGCTCCTGTTTTTTTCTACTACTATTATCTAAGTTCTCGCTTTTCTGGAAGAAGAAGGTGAATGGAAAATAACCCTGAGAGTTGCCAGTTGTTAATTTGGCCCCATAAAACCCCAGGAATATGTTCTTATTCTCCACAAAGGACATTCTTGTCCCTCTGTCCTGACTATGATGGCACAGTTAATCCCTGATGGGCAGGTTTATTTTATTTATTGAGCTGTATTTTAAAGATTTCCAGAGGGGTGTCTGAGCCTTTCTATTTTAGGCACACACAGGAGAGATCCCCAGAAATCTGGGTTCCAGGACATAAACACCCTGTGAGATTTTCCTCTTTTTTTTGGTTGTTCTTTAGTAAAATTACCTGGAGATGAATTCTAGATCTATTTTAAGGATCTTCCCACAGCATGTGTTCCAATACTATCCATGGAGAAACAGCCAAGGAAAGGGAAAGGCTTCCAGTGCACTTTTTTTGCCAACTCGTAAGAAACAAGGAACTGATGCAAAAAAAAGCAGAACACTTTTGGTTTTAATTTAAATAGTACAGATCCCAGTTGCAAAAGGTACACCCTGTTAGCTGTGTAACAAAGTAGCTTATTATTAACAGTGCCTTAAAATAATATTTATATATTATTTATATATATATTTATATTTATATATTTATATATTTATATATTTATATATTTATATATTTATATATTTATATATTTATATTCAGTGCCTTAAAATAATATTTTTTCTTTCCAGTAAGAGAAGCAAGAAAGGAGATAAAAATGGGAAGGGCCTGAGGCATTTTTCAATGAAAGTTTGTGAAAAAGTTCAGCGGAAAGGGACAACTTCCTACAACGAAGTGGCTGATGAGCTGGTGTCAGAGTTCACAAACTCCAACAGCCACCTGGCTGCAGACTCAGTAAGCAAAGAGCGGGGGGAATTGTTGTCCCATTACAGATTTGTCGTGTTTTCCTGGGGTTCTGGTCCTTCTGTCCTGCCACAGTCCCTGCTTTCCTTCACTTACTGAACTACTTCTCAAATAGAATCCTCAGATATTCAAAAATATTAAAATGAATTAAATTATTGAATCTAACTAAGTAAATAAATTAAATTGATAGAATATAAATTAATAAAAAATAAAGTTAATTAAATAAATTAAAATATTAAAATGAAGACGTGCTCGGTTGTGTTTCCTTTTGGAATTCTTTCCTTGTAATCAGTGCTGACTTGTTTTCTCAGCAGGCTTATGACCAGAAGAATATCAGACGGAGAGTTTACGACGCCCTCAACGTCCTGATGGCCATGAACATCATTTCCAAGGAGAAGAAGGAAATCAGATGGATTGGCCTTCCCACAAACTCAGCTCAGGAATGTCAGAATCTGGAGGTAAAGGGAGGGGAAATGGGAAATCCTGTTGAGTTTCCAGGGGGTGATGATGGAGTTGCTTTTCTTTACAAGAGGGTTTGGAACTGATTGGTTTTGATTCTTGCACACTGCGAAAATACAACTTTTGGATATGTTTGATAAGCTCAGTTCAGCTTTTTATTTAGTATATGTTGTGTGAAGTTTTTTAAACCCCAAGCTGTTTACCAAACAAAGAGAACAGTGGTGTGATAGCTTGAATTAACCAGAAAGAAAGTCAAAAGAATAGAAGAGCAGTTCTCTATTAATGTCTGCACCGGGAAACATGATCCAAAGGAAATTAAATTGAGAAGTAATTCCTGCTGGGATGGCAAATACTAGTTATGAACTGCCAGAGAAACAAAAAAGGAACTTTTACCTATTGGTTATTTCCAGTATTTTTCCAGCAGGCTAAGAGTTACAGTGGTTTTTTGCAGGGATGCCAGCATTTATATGCACAAATGTTGCTTGTCCTTCAGGCCAAATGTGCTATAAATAAAAGCACAAGTCACTGTATTTACTGCAGCCCGCTGTAATGGCTGGCTGCAAATACATCCTAATATTTACTACATTTGTGCTACTTGTGCATTATTAGGTATTTCAGGGGTGGGTGGTGCCTTTCCAGGCAGAACAGCTCTTTTTGTGCAGTCATTTACATCAGTTGTCTTTCTAGATGTGGTAATAGAAAAGCTTTTACTGTTCATTGCAGCATCTTGGCAAGTACCCCCACCCAAGGGGGTGCATGTGCTCAGTGATTATTGCTCCAGGATGGCTTCTTTAAATCAGGGCTAAATTCACCTTTTGCACACGTTCAAGGGAATGTATTCTCTTCAGTGTAGGTTATTGTTACAAACATGGAGCTTGAATTTCATTGTGCTATCTTCAGTGATCATACCTGACTCACTCTTTCAGGCTCCAGTTACCTGTGCACAAAATGGAAGCCAGGCTGGTTTTTTTAAAATTGTTGCTTCCTCTGACATAATAGAAAATAAAGGAAAATAAAGCTGCATTTTTATGGTGGGAAAATCAGAATTGATTTTGCTTTTAAAGCTGTGTAAATTGCCAGCTCTTCTTACAGTGTAAATCCCAATAAGATTACCAGTACAAAAAAAAAAAATTGTTATATAGAAACCGTGCCTAAATGACATCTGTACAGTTTATTGGTTTTAAGAGTCCCAGGAAAAAAAAAAAAAGTCATTTAGTGTGCTCTGAAGGAAGCACTTTAAACACTGAAGTGTGTGAGGAGGGAACCACCACAAAGAAACACCGTAAATAGGTCCAGCAGGAAAGCAGTGGGACATGCACAACTGCTGAAGAGTGGAGGGCAGAAGGAAAAAACCACCAAAAATAAAAACTGCAAATACAGAGGAGCAGTGGGTGGGGAGATAACAGTCTCTCATAATAATGGATTCCAGACTGGAGATAAAATTGTTGACAAAGAAACAAATTACAGTTTGCCAGACCTGTTTACTGGAGAAACTCATACGAACCGGGCAATTCACCCCGTTTTCAAAGAAAGCCTTTCAGTTTGGCACTGGAGCAGCCAAGGTAACCAAGGAAATATCCTGATGCATTTCCATTTCTCTTTTAAGATAGAAAAGCAGAAGCGGATTGAAAGGATAAAACAGAAGCGAGCCCAACTGCAGGAACTGCTGCTGCAGGTACGTTTAATTTTATTTTTTTTCTGTAAATGTACATTTCCTAAACCCACCCATTTTCATACAGATGGAGTCAGATAGAAAAATCAATAGACAGTGAGTGGTGTCACAAACAGTACAAGTTTAATAACTTCCAGAGAAGAATTTCAGATTAATTCTTTTGAGAGAGACAAGTGGGTGATAAAGGAGAGGGGAAAGAGAATACAGATGGTGGAAGAGGGGGAATTTTGTTAACTTTTGTTTCAGTGTAACTGTCTCCTAGTCTGAGGTGATTATGCTTAGAAATTACCAGAGAAGATCTCTGACTCCAGTGGCTTTTCCAGAGGAATGGGAAGCATTCCCAGCAAGCTTTGGTGCTCCTTCAGTGTTTCTTCTCCAGGGAGTGGGAGGGGGGGCACAGGAAATAGGATATGTGTGAAAAATGTGCCTGTAACTTCTGTTCCTGGTGAGCCTCACTAATGCAAGGAGAAAGTCAGGCCACAACTTTTACTTTTTGACAAAATGAGGTACTGAGAGTTGGTAAATACACTTATGACATGTCATTTCCTGCAAACACTGATATCTGCTCTCTTATTGTCAGTGATGGTTTTTTCTTTCTTTCTTTCTTTTCACAGCAAATAGCATTTAAAAACTTGGTGCAAAGAAATCAGCAAAATGAGCAGCAAAATCAGGGCCCTCCATCTGTGAACTCCACGATCCAGCTGCCCTTCTTGATAGTCAACACTAGCAAGAGAACCATTATAGACTGCAGCATATCCAGTGACAAGTGAGTGTTTGTGGAATCCATTTGTAGAATTTTATTTTCTTCGTGAACCGGAATTTTTCTTAAAGACAAATGAGGGAAATTTTTCTAGTTTACTAAAAGTAATTGTTGTATTTACATTTGCATCTGTCACTTCAGGGGGGTTGCACAGAAGAAATAACTGAATGAAACCATATCCCAGGCCAGCATCTCCTTTCCAGGGAGCCAGGGGGTGCTGCTTCTGAATATTTACTGCCAGAAACACAAGGTGACCCATGTGACACAAAATAGCATCCCAGAGGTGATGATAACAACTTTGAAAGTGGCTTTTAGCACCAAAAAAGGTGGCACTTAGTTCTTTGAAGGAAATTGCATGGGGCTTTGAAAGACTGGCGTTGTAAGCAAACTGCTGTGCTTGCATTCACGTTAATTTGAAACTACTGCAGTTACATAATTGTGAAAATATGGCTGAGGTGTGAGGTGCTGCTACTTGAACTGGTAATTGGATCACAGCAGTTCATTAGCTGAGAATAGCTGGCTTTGCTTTAATACTGTAGATTACAGATTTCACTCCTGGTGTGCAAATCCTGGACTGAACTGCCAGGCAGCAAAAATAGCCAGTCTGCAGTGACCTGAGCACCACCATGCAAACCAGCAATGCTACTGAAAGGTGAGGTTTTGTAGGAAATTGAACCAAAGTCCAATACATCCTTTTGGAATGCTCTCATCAGCACTGCAGTTCACCCAGCTGGGAATGTTGGGATCCATTTTGATTTAGCATAATTATGCCTTTATTTTATAGCCACACTATACAGTTCTTCCTGCACTGTTGAACAGGGCTCCACCTTGAGCTTTAAAGCTGTTAAAACGTTGAACATTTCCTACTGAAACTTCACAAGTGTTGCTTTGCAGCTGTCAGGGGTTGGTTAAACTGGGATCCAGAGCAGTGTCAGCACACCTGTAACAGCCTCCAGCTGTCCAAAAACACTGCTGCTAAAAGTCAGCACCCCAAAATCATTGAGGGTGTTGATAATTCATTTATATAACCTGCTGTGGTGTGACTGTCACCTGCAGGTCATCAAGTGTACGACCCCAATTAACCAGCTTTCCACCGTGGGTATTGTTGGTGCAGCTGTCCTGGTTAAAAGGAAGTAGTTAAAAATTATATTGAAAAGATGAGGCACATGAAGAAGTCCCATTTAAACTGGAAAAATATATTTAGTGTATATAGTGCCTCTATATAAATACTCTCAGTCCTAGGAAAAAGAAGAGGGGGAAAAAAAAGGAAGCAGAATATCTAGTTTTAAACAAGCACACAAACACAACAGATGTATCAGAAACTTGGAAAATGAGAACATCTCTAATAGGAAATGCAGAATATCTTGCCATTGGAGATACAGTGCTGTACTTTAGAGAGAAGATGTGGGAAGTGGGCTCTTGTACCCTTACAGAAAGAACTGTCTGCGAGAGCAGAGTCCAGATTAAAATCGCTGGTGCAGAGCCACCAATAAATGCAGCCTCTAATCCTGTGCCATAAAAGCAGAGTTCAGTCCAGGCTTTTAACAGCCTGTGCTCATAGCTAAAGGCCAGTCTAGGTGCCCCTGCTTTCCTTAAAGCTGTCTCAAATTTCACAGTTAAAAGTATCCCAATTTCCACTTTTGTATGCAATGGGAAACATTTTTGGAGTCCTGCAGCAGAAGTGGTGGGACTGAACAGACTGCTTTGCTGACTGCATCCAAAAAAGCAAAATGATACCAAGGTAAATAGGTCAGTTCACAGGAGGAGCGTTGCACTTTAGAACAGAAAGTGAAATGGAAAAAAAAGCAAAACCAAAACAGTTATTCTGGTGACAGGGCTGCAGGTGACCTTATTGGCTTTAGTGCAAGTGAAGGTTCATGTTTAATAAGGCCTTCCTCTTTCCCTTTAAATCTACTTAATGAGGTTGAAAATTCCCAACTTTCTTCCTGCAGTGGTGAAGTTACTTCAGTTGAGGAAGTGCCATTTTAAACCCTGTAGAAAGGAGAGGGAAAGCATTTGTTGCAGTTCTCTTTCCCCGAGGACCTGTTACAGAAAATGAAGACTCTACACACTTCCCTCAGTGCATGCTGAAAAAACCAGAGAAAGAACAAGCAAGAAAAGCACAGCTGTGCTCTTTTCCAAACCATCTCCCTGTTAATGTTTGACATGCAGGTTTGAATACCTCTTTAATTTCGATAACACCTTCGAGATCCACAATGACAGCGAGGTGCTGAAGAGGATGGGAATGTCCCTGGGGCTCGAGGCAGGCAAGTGCTCAGCTGAGGACCTCAGGACTGCAAAATCACTGGTGCCAAAAGCTTTGGAAGGCTACATCACAGGTGAGTTCATGGGACCTTTAACTGTCCTGGATCCAATCCAGAACCAAATTTAATTATATTAACCCAAACATCTGAAGTTTTATGGGACCCAGCAGGGTTGGTCCATGAACCAGTTGGTTTACTGTTGATTTTGGAAGCTGTATCATAGTTGTCCTGTAAATTTAATTCACACTGATTTATTACAACAAATTCTGAGTGAGCTGCATTATGAAGGAATTATTTCTTAAATAACTAAATGGATACCAAGACCAGGTTCTCCTGCATTAGTGTTAATTTTGAGTAACTGGATGCATGGAGGAGCAAACTGGAAGGAGAGAAGAAGAGCATCTTGACCTGGTTGGGTGTGATCCCTCAGGTGCCAGCAGGTGCCAGCTGAGACCTGAGCTTCTCTAAATAAAGCAGGAGGCTCTGAAGACTTTGGGACAGGAGTCCCACGATAAATGCTGCCTTTACATAAAAATAAAGCCATTTTGTTTGCTAATAAAAATATAGTGAAGTAGCCAGGAAGTTGAACACATGTTTTTATATTCTTGATTGAACTATGTGAATGAATTAAGAATGAAACAATTTCTTACAATTTGTGATGTCAAAACACTAGTGGATATAGCTTAAGTTACATTCAGTAAGATCAGTACACTTTAAATGGCTTAACATTTCAAACTACACCAAACATGCTTATGTTTATCAACACTGGTTTGTGTTTTCCTGGTCCTCTTGTCCTGGGCATTTTAAAGCTAAGATTTCCTATTTTGATTTTGGTCAATTTTGAAATTACACTCCAAGCCTCTATAAGACAGCAGTGGTACCAAAAAAAAGAAGTTGAAAGAAATCTCGATTTTTTTCCTTGCAGATTCTTTCAAGTAAAAATTATTTACCATCAGCAGCATAAGAAAGGGGAAAGGAGTAGAACCCACATCTTTAATAGTGTTGCAATGCTCAAGTTACTTAATTGCTCCCATGTGTCCAGGATCAATCCAAAATTTCTTTTTAATTTTAAACCTGCATTAATTTACCTTCAGAGAACAGGGGGTTTTTCCATTTGCACAACCCCCTGTGTCATCATTTACTGAGCATTTCCCTCGTAGCAGAGCAGCAGCCAGGAACCTGCAGAGCCTTTAATTCCCAGCCAATGCACTGCTTTGATTTTTTACTCCAATTGCATTGAGGGAAGGGGTCACATCCAGATGTGCTGAATGTAAATTCAGCTGGTCCAGCCTCTGAAAAAATGAGCCCAGAGCTGCTGTTACCTGCACATGGACATTGCTTTAAAGGCTTCTTTTGTCTGTTGTTTGTTAATGACACGCCCCCAATCTACAGTTGGGATTTGAGTGGCACAGCAGTGGTTTCAATGGCAGGAAGTGACAAATAAGGGAAGCAGATTGAAATGTTTTGCACAGTACCTGAAAATCCAGCATTTGCCTGCTTATCTATTTTTGGTGAAGTGTAACTTTCCATGTTAACCTTGGGAGTCTTCAGACATTGTTTCTTACACTGCAGGAGCAGGGAAATCCAAGGGTCCTTTGTGGAATCCATGGTTACTGGCACAGCTGTCAGGGTGGCCCTTTTAACAACACTGCCTTCAGTTACTACAAAAAACCAGGGAAAAACAGGAAAAACAAATCAAGGTCTCCTCTTTAATCCCTGAGTAAATTTACTGTGATCAAGATTTATCACAATCACTGTAGTGACTCCATGGACTCAACTGCTGTAGAAGCCAGTCCTGTTCTAATGTCTAAGTGGGTAAATCATCTCCTGGGCAATGTTTGACCTTAGCCTGGTCATTTTTGCAGATAATTCCTCACTTCCAGGCACTAACAACAGTTTGTACTGTAATGTTTGCCAGCAGGACTAGAGGAGCAGTTGGAAGAATCCAAGTCTAAACCAGTTCGATTAAAGAAACTTAAAATTGCCAAAAACCCTTGGACCATCATAGCTTTGAACAGAAATAACTTCCTATTTGCATTAAACAGCCAAATAAATTGCTTGGAATTGCTGAACTGATGACATGTGCATCAAAACCTTATTAGTGTAGTTTCTTTTCAGGAGGAGCACGTATTTTAGCGTTTCTTCAAGCGCACAAGTTTGATAAAAGCAGTGTTACCTAGGTTTGCTATCGGTTCCGTGATGTTTTAGCAAAAAAAGTGTTGCATTGTTGTCATATGCATTTGAAGTTCTACAGGGGTGAGATCCTGGGTGTGACTGCCATTGCCATCACCCCCAGCTAAGGCACAGTAACATCACATATTCTGTGTATCTTCCCTTTGTTTGTGACACACTTTTCTGTTGCAAGCTGTGCTCACCGACAGTGTCTGACCCAGGGCACTTCACCAGCTGATGATGCATTCTCGGGTCCCAGTCCTCGTTCCACATTCCTAATCCTTCAGAGCCAGGTCCTCTGTGTGTGCTCTCCCTGAGCTGGTTCTGGGTAGGAACCACCGGCTGTTTGTGTGCCAGGGAGTTCCTGACAATTAAAGCAGCAGAACTGTCCAGCCAGGGGCTCAAAGCAGAGCAGCTCGAGGCTGAAGGAGGGAGTGGGGTTTGTGCATGAGCAGAAATGCTCCACTGGCTGAGACAAGCAGGAACTCGTGGAACCACATCCCAAGGAACATCTGTGCCTTTGGAGCCACAGGCACTTCATGCCAACCCAAGTCCTGCCTTTGTTAGTTCAGTCCTGACTCCCAGAGATGAGTCTACAGATAAAAAACCAGCAGGCAATAAAAATTCTGAGGCACTAAGAGTTGGGGTAACAGCATCCCACTGTATTTATCACACCGAGGCAGCGGGCAGAGAAAGTGGGGCAGTTTAGGACCTCTAGATTACAACACTTCTTTTTTCCTCCCTGCATAATAAGCCTTGACTGAGAGATGGGCTGGAGTTGGAACTACAGAGCCCAGAGGATGCCCTGACTGAAGGAGTGTGTTGAGCCATCAGCAACAATCCCATGCAGCACTAGCACAGTAACTACTAAAGCTACTGAGGGTATTGCTGTAGAGCTCCCCAGAGCCCACTGAAAAACAGAATTTAGAAATGTCAGGCAATGAAAACACAAGGCAGGGATATGCATCTCTGAACCACCTTTCTGCCTTGTGTAAAAGCCACACTTTCTTCTACCTTGCTCTTCAGAAAGGAAAGCCACCCAGCTATTATCCAAAAATGTTAATAAACCACAAGATTACCAGCAGTGTTTGTTATTCCTCTGGAATATTAAGCATGTCCACGCAGGTACACTCTTTCAAAATACCAGGAAACAACACTGGTACATCTCTGTTAATCTAAATACAATGCAGTGATTGCATGGCTCAGCTGTCAGAACATGTTCTCTGGAACATCAAAGCTGCATTTGGGGCAATGTCAGTGGAAGCCATCCAGCTGTGCCCACATTTAACTACCCTCACCTATTCTGGCCTCAACAGATCGACCCAAAACTGCCACTTAGTGATGTTTGCAGGGCCCCCCCCCCCTTGCTGGCCTTGCTTTGTGACAGGTTATTTAAATAGCTGTCAGGTTTCCACAGCACAAGGGAGCCTGTGGATCCATCCCAGAGCATGCAGACCAATCTGCAGGGCTGGGCCTGCTGCCCAATCCCAGGGAACCACAGCCTAGCAAGGATAAGGACCACTGAGAAGGTGTGTGTACCAAACACAGTTCATTATTCCTCTGTCCTGCTCTTAGAGAGCAATTCCAGATAAATAGGAGTAGTGCAATCTCACTGCAGTGCTGCTGTGCTGTACAGAACAGACACTGGGGTAGGAATAGCATTAATTGTAAGGACTCTGACTCCTGGCTTAACACATCCAGCTGGAACCACCTGCAAGCACCATGGAAAAGAACTGGCCAGCCTTGGTAACTTTGTTTTGATGTTAACTTTGTGTCCAGATGGAATTTGGGCAGGTTAACAGAAAGACCTTATCTAAGGAACAAATTAAAAACAACCTCCTCCCCCCCAAAAAAAATCCCCCAAGTGTAATTGGGTCAATGGACTTGTTTTGCTGATTCTCTTGGCAGAAATGTGCGTAACTGGGAACATCTGACAGGCATTTCTGGTTAAGGAATTTGAAAACAAGTGCTACGAGGGTTGTAAGGAACCTGTTCATGGCCCTCAGGGGGCTTTTAACAAATTACCTGAAGAAATTCAGCGCTATTGCAAGACCATTTTAATGGTCTTACCCCAACATCTCCTCTCCCCAGGGAGGAGACAGCTCCCCTGGTACCTTCTAAGCCAAACTGTGGAATCCTAACTGCAAAGTTTAAGATTGTAAAAGGAAGACAGAAATTGAAGTAGCTCTCATAAATGCAGTTATGCTTTCTTGCAGATATGTCTGCAGGATTTTCATGGATAAACCAAGGGTTACTTCCAAGTTCAGCACAAGCAGTTTCACATTTAGAGGCAGCTGGAGGCACTTGCAATGCTAAATCAAGGTAAATGAATTAATTTTTCATTCAAGGGTAGTTATGTATGCTTGTGGTACTTTCAGTAACCTCCCTATTTCATCCCACTTTCATGAGGGAATTGAAATGTTTTCTTATTATGGTTGATTTTGATTGTGAAAAAGTCTAATTCTGTCTTCCTTGATAATTATATTTGAAAGGTCAAATCAACATGCTTTGAATGTTGAACATACCAGCTATGTTTCATAAGAATAGAATCACTCTTGGAGTCCTTTTTCTTGATTAACCTTAAATTCCTGCCTGGGCCTGGCCTACAATTAGGTAATTACACATGGATATGAGGCTGGTAACATTTCTGAAGAATGCAAAACAATATTTGGTGTCTAAATGCACTACTGCTCAAGCTCTCATGAGACAACTTTAGTCCACACAGCCTAATAATAATTTAAAAACCAACAACCAACCAAAAACACCATCAGTAAAAACCCAATCCAGAATACATCCCAACAGCCTTTGCTTGGAGCTTACCTGTAAATGGAAATAAGGATTGTCCTGGAACAGGTTCTTCATTATAGTGTGTAATGGCATCATTTCATATGGCAGACATTTCATATTGCAGACATTTTGTCAATGTGATGATGGATTTCTTCTTCTTTAATTTAATTTCTTCAGCTTGAGCAATTCCCCTCGTTGTTTATGGGGAACACAGCGGCCCAATAATCTTTCCCGTGCACCTTTGCAGTGGTTTATCAGCTTTCACTGCATCACTTCTGCCTTTTTCCCCTGTTGGCAGCATTTCTTTGGTAAAGGGAAGCTGAGCAGCTCTCTGAGGGTGCTGGTGTGTGTTGTTTTGGTAGTGAGGACGCGGAGGTGGCCGTGGCGAGCGCGCAGCTGGTGGCCCTGAGCGCTCAGCAGTCCCGGGGGGACACCCCCTGCTCCTTCAACGATGACGACGAGGAGGACGAAGAGGAGGACTCTTCCTCCCCAGAGTGAGGATGGTAGAGAATGGAATGTCCAAAATGCTGCTCAATGTTCCTGGTGCGAGTTCCTGTTTGGGTGTCTCCGGTTTCTCGCCTTGTTCTGCGCTGTGCTCACTGAAGCGAAAGGGGACGCTTCAAAAACAACTTACCCACAGCTGGAAGTGAAAACTTTGTAACTGAGCACAGAGGGACACGGAGGGACACAGCACAGGGGGTTTCATCAGCCAAAACCCAGGAAAAGAACAAAGTTCTGGGAGATTTGGCAAAGCAAACCCCCAAGTTCACCCTTTCCATTCTGGGACTCGAGTCTCTGCCTTCCCCTTGTCTTTGGCAGATGGAGAAGAGAAGGAATCAGTCAGCAAAGGGCAGTTCTTGCATTGTCTTTGTGCTGTGCTGCCTTTAGAAAAAGGGGGAGGGAGAGCACAGGCAAATGCTAAAAAAGCTATTTAAAACTATCTTCTATGAAAATGGTTAGAGGGAAAAGGGGCTGCTTAAATGTTTGCTTTTTTTCTGTTCAACTTGCTGTATAGAAGATTCTTAAATAATACAAATTGCAAGTGATTAAATGGATCTTGAAATAGTTTAAATTCACTTTAGATACTCTAAAAGTAATATTAGTATAAAAGGTTCATATGTTCATTTCTACTGCAGACCTAATTTATTATAAATAAGTGATTATTCTTAGCCATTATTAAAACAGTCAGGGAAAAAACCCCAGTATTCTCTGCACCAGCTTTTTTAAGGAAAAAAGTAAAAAAAAATATTGTATTTCTAGACTACAATGTATCCAGTGTAGCTTCTTCTCTACTGTTCTAACTTTATATAATCCCTTTGATGTTCGAGCATGTGTTGGGTATTTTTCAGAAAGGCCTCCCACCACGTTAAGGTTCTCCGGGCAGTGTTTTCAAGGCCGTGTTTTCAGATGTGGCCTGGTAGGTCACACAACTCTTTTAAAAGTCGTAGGCTGAGGTTCTTAGGGAAAAAAATAAAATTTCCACAATATGTCATTTCATGTTTTGCATTCCAGACAGCTTGGATTCTGTATGACAGACTAATTCTCTTATCATTAACCTCTGTTGCACTCACCTCGATGCGCCTTTGAGAACTGTACCAAACCACTTCAACAATCTGTGGCTGGAGTTACACAACACCAGTCCCATGGGAGCTGGGAAGCAGGACTTGCAGCAGGAGGCTGAGTGTCCCACAGCTGCCATCACATCCACTCATAAAGGCCTTTTTTCAAACCAAAAACCTACTTGAACATCAGTGCAAAACCCGCTGTAGATGTACCCTTCCCATGGTGTTCTAACATCTTTTAACTAGTCTAGAAGTGAACTGTTTTTAATTAGGGAAATGCAGTTTAAAGTAGCGTTGCTCCTCTCCGGTTTCTCCTGTATGTCACAGTTGTGTCAGCTCTGTTCCTGCCCCGGGAGATGAGGCAGCTCATCCCTGCGTTCCTGCACCAGCTGCAGCCAGGACAGCACAACTGCCCCCAACATCTGCATGTTTACATTAAAAACTAAAGCCTCCAGGTAGAAACTCCTCCCAGATGGTTCAAAGTGCTGCCCTGGAGGTACAGTTATCAGCACCAGTGGAAGCGGAGCTGCTGGCTGAACAAGTGGAGCTCTGCAGCTTACACAGCTGAGTGACAAATGCAGAAAGGAAAGGAATTCCTCGATGCCTCCCGGGTTATTCACCCTCTGGGCAAGAACTGTTCAGACTGTCCTGTGCTCG